GGTGAGGCTCTTCGGGGTGAGGCTCTTCGGGGTGAGGCTCTTCGGGGTGAGGCTCTTCGGGGTGAGGCTCTTCGGGGTGAGGCTCTTCGGGGTGAGGTTCTTCAGGCTGGGGCTCTTCGGGGTGAGGCTCCTCAGGCTGCGCCTCTGGTCCAGGTTCGTCTGGTTGTGCTTCGTCAGCCACCACCGGCGGCTCTGGCCCATCGTTATGCTCCTCGGCAGGTGGAGGAGCTACGGGCACAGCAGCCTCGGTGTCATGAGTCGGCTCGCCCGTCGACTTCGACCCAGGCGCTGGTTGCTCCACTGGCGCATCCGGGAGAACGATGCCACTGTCCGTCACGACAGTTTCGCCGTACGGATAGCCTCCCTAGTCAATGTCAGCAACTTGAATCCCGATCCACTCCGCGGTGAGTTAGACATCGGATACGCGTACCGAAGACCACGAAAAGAGCACCAAGGCAATGATCGTCGCGAAAATGACGGAAATGAGCACCCTCGACGATCTCTTCGCGAATAGGGCCATGGGGTTGGGAGCGTTTGGGCCTGGATGGCCCAGTTGCTCGTAGCCGCCCCTCTTCCATGTCAACAGTCTCTGGAGTCTGTCCATGGTGTCTTGACGCAGCGGCTTCTAGAAGCTACACAGATAGGGCGCGTGACGACGAGACAATTGAGAGGTGAGACAGAAATTCTCCGTCAAGTTATTTTCCCCAGTCCTAGGGAAAAGAAAAGACCGGGTCCCGCCATGATAAGAAATGGGCGCCAGCCAAGAAAGCAGCCAAGAAAGGGGCGGATGTGTTGAGTATTCGATAGTTGCCACGGAGGCTGCCATTGATTGGGCGCTAGAAGACGATGTGGAAATGAAGTTTCGATACATCGTTATGCATCTGTACTGCATATCCTCCCTGGGAGAGCGATGCAACTAGCCAGGCAGCGTTATAGCCGATATGCCTACCCGGCATACAAACAAGCAACATCGCCGCCAACCGCCTGGCGTACATGAAACGCTGTTGCCTGGTCCAACTCATGATCATGAAGGATGCTCCGACTGCAGATATGCGCTATGCAATGCACATCATCATCGCTGGGGCCGTTGACCCAACATAAGAGCTAGACGGTACCCCGGATTCCCCACGTCTTGTTCCATTCCCTTCATTCATCAGCCCCAGTTCAACCATGTCGTTCAATGCTCTCACGGATATTCCAAACCTTCCTGGCAAGGTGATACTCGTCACCGGAGGTAAACCTCCCCTCAAGTAGTATCTTACACTTCGCGAATCATACAACTAACCTTCGCATCCATGTAATAGGCAACACAGGCTTGGGCGCAGCCACCATCAAGGCCATCGCCCCTCACAACCCATCCACCATCTACCTTTGCGCGCGACCCGTCTCCATCCCCAGCGCAGAAACACTCATCTCATCCATCAAGCAGACCTCGCCAGACGTCAACATCAAGATCCTCCCCCTGGACCTCTCCTCATTCGCCAGCGTCCGCGAGTGCGCCGCCGCCTTCCTCCAACAGGAGCAGCGCCTTGACCTCCTCTTCCTCAATGCGGGCATCTCCACCACCGCCCCTGCGCTGACGCAGGACGGCTACGAGAGCCAATTCGGCATCAACCACATGGGTCACGCGCTCCTCACGCAGCTCCTCATGCCGCGCCTCCTTGCCACCAAGCAGCAGGGCCACGACGTCCGCATCGCCGTCACCTCGTCCATGGCCGCGCACATGGACCCCCCACCGACTGGCCTCGCGCTCAACGAGATGAAGGGTAACGCTGACCCCCTCGCGTCGCCCTACCAGCGCTACGCGCACACTAAGCTCGCTGCCATCCTATTCGCCCGGAAGCTCGCCCAGCTCTACCCCTCCATCCAGTCCGTCTCCTTCAACCCGGGCCAGGTCAAGACGGATTTGTTCAAGAAAGCGACGGGCATCAACAAGTGGTTCATGTTGTTTGTCGGCACACCGTTCTTGTGGTGGACGGGCGTCAGTGTGGATAAGGGGGCAGAGAATGGCCTTTGGGTGGCGTTCACCAAGGACGCCAAGAATGGTGCCTACTACGAACCTGTGGGTGTGCTGACGGAAGACAAGAAGTTCTTCCAGGACCAGGCTCTGACAGATGAGCTCTGGCGCTGGACAAACGAGGAGCTTGCATCGCACGGTACGCCAGGATGGCCTGCAGTGGAAGATGCTTAGAACAAGAGCACGACTGGACAAATACTGCTACGAAATATCTCTATTGTGTTTCCATCTATTAGTAGTGTTCTATCACTCCTTCTTCTGCTGCTGCTGCGGCTTCTTCATACCAGCTTCCCGCTGGGAGAGGATCAGCGTCGCGAGCGACCGTAGGTTGGCCGCATTGACAATCTTGGGCAGAGAGAGGTCAACATTTGTCGCTCTCTTGATCCAGTTCCGCAGCTCGACGGACACGAGCGAGTCGAGACTGTAGTTGGACAGTGGCGCGTCCGCGTCCATCTCGTCCCTCTCAATCATGGTGATGGCCGACACCCTGTCCATGAGCGTAGCCAGCAACGCAGCCAGCGGATCGCTCTCGCTCGCGAGCTCGAGGCCCTTTGACTTGGTCTTGGCCTTGCTGCCGTCGCCGTCCCCATTGACGGTGCCGCCGTTGGCGCGCGACTCGGATCGGATGTAGTCTACGAGTGCCCTGGGGTGGAAGCACTGCCACGGCAGGATGCTGCTGTCGTCGCCGCGCGCGTAGCTGAAGGAGATGGCCTTGCTGTCGCGGTGCAGACCTGACGAGGCGCCGACAATGGTGCCCTTGATGACAGTCTGCAGGTGGTCGAGGGAAAGCACCGCGCCGAGGGCGTTGGTGAGCTTGCCCTCCAGATCACGGTCGGCCACGTAGCCGACGTCGAGGACGACTGGCAACTCCACGGAGACGGTTGGCTGCCCCATCGCACTGCGATACTCGGCGAATGCATCGTAAAAGGACGCCGTGCCCGAGTACACCGACTGCCCCATGTTTCCGCTGCCGGAGATGAAGGACGAGAGGACGACGAAAAAGTCAAGACCATCAGGTAAGAGCTCGTGCAGATTCCACGCACCGCGGATGCGAGGGAGCACAATGTTGAGCCAGTCTTGATGAGACGTGTTGCTCAGCAACTTGTCCTTGAGGAACAAGGCGCCGTGTATCACGCCACCGACGGGAGGAAGATCCTTGATAGCGTCGACAACGCTCGCAACGTCGTCTCGATTGCCCACATCACAGGCAATGGCACGCATCGAGACATCAGTGTCTTGGTACCGGGCGAGCACCTCCTGCACAGGCTGGCGTGAGGCGCCACTGCGACCCAGGAGAACAACATTCTTGGCCCCATGCTCGACCATCCAGGGTCCAAGGGCGAGACCGATGCCGCCTGTTCCTCCGGTGATCACGTACGTCTTGTCCGGACGCAAGAGCTGCTGCCCTGTCGCAGTCTGCAAGGTACGCGGAGGCGCCGCTTGCGCCACGACACGCGCCTCCGTGTCCATGGTGATGACAATCTTGCCAAGGTTCTGGCCTGACTGAAGCCTTCGCAGGGCCGCACCCAGCTGTGACACGGGCATCTCCTTGACCGGGCGGATGGGCTGGACCACGCCGCGCGCCACAAGGTCGTTGATGTCAGCAAGGCAGCGACGATGCTCGTGCGGGCGCGTGAGGAACATGGTGCGCAGATCTACGCCTGTAAAGGTCACGTTGCGATCGAACGGACGCATAGGCAGGTGGCTGTTCTGCAGGGCGTCTCGCTTGCCAATCTCGACAAAGCGGCCAAAGTCGGCCACGATGGCCCATGTGGCCTGTAGCAGGGCACCGCTGAGCGAGTTGATGACGACGTCGATGCCCTTGCCCTGGGTCATGGCCATGATGCCATCGCGGAACGTGTTGTTACGGCTCGAAAAGATGTGATCCTCGGGAATGTCAAACTCTTTATGAAGTATCCAGCGCTTGGCGGGCGTTCCAACCGTCACGTAGATATCTGCGCCAATGTGCTTCGCGAGCACGATGCACGCCTGTCCGACAGCCCCTGAGGCCGCGTGGATCAGGACCGTTTCTCCGGGCTGAAGACGTCCGATGCGGATGATGGACATGACGGCCGTCGAGTAAGCCACGGAAATACTGGCCGACTGGGCCACGGTGAATCTGTCCTCGGGAAGCTTGGTCGCGTGCCACGAGGGCATCTGCAAGTGAGTGGCGAAGCTGCCGCCGTGGAGCGCGCCATAGAAGACCTTGTCGCCAGGCTGCAAGTCCTTGACCGCGGAACCGGTACGGAGTACGACACCTGCACCTTCGAAACCTGGCCGTGTCCAGGGAATGCTGCCCAACACCAGAAGGAGATCTCGGAAGTTGACACCAGACGCCTCTACCTTGACGAGGATGGCATCGTCCGCCAGGGGCTGCTGCAGCGCGTCGCTACGCTGGAAGTAGATGGAGTCGGGACTTCCAGCGGCATCCACCGTCATCTCGAGCGCCACGTCGTCGCCAAACTGCCCCAGAGCTTGCTCCTTGCGTGTCTCGATGCCTGCCTCTGCCGCGAAAACCTCCTTGGCCTCAGGCAGGGCGCGGTACCGCGGTAGCCACAGGGTACCATCGCGCCATGTAAAGTCAAAGTCGACGGCGCTCTCATGCTCGCCGTCACGAAGTCTCTCGGACAACTGAGCGATGGCGGGCGCCCCCTCTTGCGTGCAGGGCAGATCCTCGAGGAGGAGTAAATTCCTCGAACCAAGCTCGAGGCGCACCGTGCGCAGAATGCCCTTGACCGTGTCGGCATCGGGGCCATGGTTCTCGGGGATCACCCAGAGCATGCCGCGCACGCGGAGGAATACGTCGCGTACCTTGTCAAACGTGGCGTCTGACACGTCGTTCCAAATACTGCCCGACGAGGAGTCGATGAACACGCAAAAGGGGTCGTCGTCGGGCTCCACCTCAGCAAAGGGCTTGACTTCCGTCTGGCAGCCTAGCTTCTCGGCCAGGAGGTCTGCCACGACCTGCGCAAACTCGACCTCGTCATCGTCCACCATGGGTCCGCAGACTGTGATGGGTGCTGCGCTGTCGATGGCCTCCGGTAGGCCCACCCTCGTCGTGGTCATGATGCTCAGGATGTTGTTTGGATCACCAGGGTATCCCTCGATCACGCCGTCAACTCCAGAGAAGCCTCGATCAGCAAACAATCTGCCCCATGCGTCCGCCGACAGCAGTGGTCCCTCTTCATGTTTGCGGTACTCGTCTTCTGCCAGCCACCAGCCTGGGAGGAGGGCAAAAGGAAGGACGAGAGGTGCATGGAGGCCTGCCTCGAGCACGACGAGCTGGCCATTGGGTTTCAGCAGGGCACGCACATGGTCCACAGTGGCAGCCATGTCGGCAGTGGCGTGCAGAACATTCGAGGCAATGACGAGGTCATAGTCCTGGAGTGTGAAGCCCTGCTGTGCCGGGTCGCGACTAACATCCAGCTTCTGGTACGTGATGTAGGGCGCCCACTTGGCGAGCTTAGCACGGGCCGGCTCAAAGAAGCCAGACGAGATGTCGGTGTATGTGTAGTGGAAGTCGTCGGGCAGCCTCTCCTGACCACGCGATATCGCCTCAAAGACAGGCACTGTGGCGCTCCCCGTGCCCGCGCCAATCTCGAGCACGCGAAGGCTCGACTTGACATCGCACTGGTGACGCACCCACGTGGCGAGGACGTGGCTGAGGCGCACATTGGTGAGGTCGGCGTCGTAGTAGCGCGACAGACGATTGTCCTTGAGCATAATCTCGAGCGCTTGCACCTCGCCTCTCAGGATCTGGGGGAGTTGCTCGCCCACGGCGCACACCATCTCGCCCTGGCCTCCAGAGTTGGCGACTGTTTTGACGAGCGATGCGGTGTCTACGCCTTCTAGCAGGCTGGTGTCCTTTGCCCTCTCTACGCTGGCTACAGCCCATGTGCGGAATCGAGCGAGATGGGGCGGCAAGTCGAGCTCTTCGTTTCTCGTCGCCTCCAGGGCCTGCTGCATGAAATGGATGGCCGCCTGGTTGAGCACATGCACGCGTTCACGCTCCGCGTCCGGCGTCGGACCAACCTGCAGAAACTCACGCAGCTTGTTATTGTCGGAGAGGTTGCGCAGACTCGGTATCAGATCCCAGCAGTAGCTTGCTGGAATGTTCTTGGACATTGATGAGGTCGAGCCGGCGTTGGTGCTCCCAGAGGTACCAGATGCGATGACGCGCAGCGAGACTGACTCAAACTCGACGACCGGGGTCATACTGGCGCTGTCGTCATTGTCGCCCTTTTGAAAGGCGGCCACGCTGATGCGCATGAGGCCTGCCTTGAGGTCGTAGTCAAGCAGGCGAGTCACGACTGTCAGGCGCAGCCCTGGGTTGGCAGGGATGTTGTTGGCGATACGCAGGCGACTGACATAGTTGGGCATCATGGCGGGCTTCTCCCCATAGGCCTCCAACAGCGGCCCGAGTCCCTGCAGGAAACTGTCGAGGGTCGGTGTGTCGACGCAGACGGGCGATCCAAACGGCGAACGGGATGCTATTGCGTCCAGCTCTCGCAACTCTGTTTCCATGACGGTGTACCCGGGGCCTTCCCAGAACCGCCTCATGCGTTTAAAGGCAGGGCCATATGTGGTGCCTTCGGTGTGGTCCTTGTGGTACTCTGCCTCGGGATCACGCTCCTGCAGCTGGCGCGTGTCGGTCAGGGGGAGCGACGCCTGGAGCGTTTGCGTGTACGCACTGGGCTCTGTCGCTTCAATCTCGAGCTGTCCGTGAGCATGAGACGTCCACCCGTACTCTTGCGACCAGCTCCAGACCTCAAAGACCCACGACGTGGAGGAGAAGACCTCAGTTCCAGACGAGGCAGGGCGGACCTTGGTGGTCAAGTCGACCCGCTCGTCCTCTTCCATCTCGAGACTACGTTTGGCGTGGAACTCGGACACGACGAGACTTCCAATGCCCTTGTTCGATGGCGACGCGGAAGCGACGTGGACTCTCCTGAGCGCCTCCATGCCGAGCGCGAGGTAGCCCGTCATGGGGAAGATGACCTGGCCGCCGACGGCGTGCTCTCTGATCCATGGCATCTCGTCCAGCGTGAACACCTGGCGAAAGGAAGTCTCGTTGCCCTCGTCATAGGGGCTCTTCCACCCGAGCAGGGGGTGGTACGGCTGGCCGGGGTGCAGCTTGGCCTGGGTGATGCGTGACCTGAGCATGTACTGGACTGAACGATCCCAGGCATACGGCGGTAGGTCGGAGATGATCTGTGCACGCGTATCCTCGCTGTTTGTCTGGTTGGCTGCACCCAAAGACACGGGTACGCCCAGGGTGAAGAGGCCCTTGGCGAGGTTGAGGATGGCTTCGTGGGCGTCCGTGCCTCGCTCAAGGGAGGAAAGATAGCTCACTTGCTTCTGTTGCTTCTGGTCCTTTTGCTGTTCTCGCAAACGGTCCACAATCTGCTGGACTGGGCCCTTGAGCGCAGAGTGTGGGCCAATCTCGACAACGACATGGGAAGGCTTGAGGTGGGTGGCGACACTGCTTTCCACGTCCAGCGTCTTCTCCACGGCCTCAGCGAAACGAACAGGCTGCACAAGATTGTTGACCCAATACGATGCATCCAGTGCCGTGGGCACGAAATCACCACCCTTGTTGTGGCCCGGTGAGCTGGACGAGACGAACCTCGGCCTCTTGACGTTGTCAGACGGCTCGACAGACGGAGCACCAGTACAGTACGGCTCAATGGCTGCGCGGTACGAGTCGGCCATGCGCTCCATGTGCCGCGAGTGGTAGGCTACATCCACCTTGAGCTTCCGGGCAAACAGGCCCTGCCCCTTGGCGAGTTCGTGGATCTTGTCAACAGCTGTCTCGTGGCCCGACACCGTCACGCTCGAGGGGCTGTTGATGGCAGCGATCGTGGCGTACCCATCCTTCTCCTGGTCGAGAGACTCCAAGAGTCCATTGGCCACCTCCGATCCGACGCCGAGAGCCAGCATGGCACCCTTTAGATTCTCGTCCTGGACGAGCTGGACGGTGGCACGCCCGCGGAAATAGGCCATGGCGATGGCGGACTCGAAAGAGACCAGGGACGCGGCGAACGCAGCACCTATCTCGCCGCTGGAATGGCCCGTGACCGCCGTTGGTTCAACGCCCCAGGATCTGAGCAGAGCCACGAGGGCAAGCTGGACGGCGGTGCACGCGGGCTGACTGATTTCCGCCTCGTTGATGTGTGACTCGTCTGTTGGGCGGGCGAGCTCTTCTGTTCATCGTGTTACTGATTTGCTCAGCAGTGTCTTGTCGAGGACGAACGTACCTTTGAGGGACCACGTAGCACCCAGTTTGGACAAAATCGCCTCCGCCTCATCCAGGGCCGCAGAAAAGACATGGTATGCGCGCAGGGCCATCGCCATCTGCGCGTGTCTGCGTGGAGAGTCCGAATCAGCAGGGGCCATACGACATGGAGGCGAATGTTCACTTACTGGGCACCTTGTCCTGTAAAGACAAAGCATACTGTCCTCTCTCTGCTCTTCCTCGGTCTCGCCGCAAATACCTGTGTCTTCAAGTCATCCAACGATGCCGCTGTCACGGCCGCACGGTAAGGGTGGTGCTTTCGATGCTCTCCGAGGGTGAAAGCGAGATCATCCAGCCATCGCTGCTCTGTTGACACTGTGCCCTCTAGGTACTCTTTGAATGACAAAAGGTAGGCGCTGAGACTGCTTTCTGACTTGGCAGAGAATACGAATACCCGGTTCTTGAGGTCATGATGTACCCCGTTCTGTGTCGCGGCGCCGTTGGTTAGCTTTGGAGTGGAGGATGTCCCTTCATCCATGATGATGGCCGAGTTACTACCACCGAAACCTGGTTGTTGGGGTCAGTCCCGAATAGTGACATTGTGGCGAGGGCTCTCATACCGAAATTGGTGACGCAGACTCGTCGCGGCTCATTAGCTGGCCATGGGAGCTTTGTAGGAGCCACTCGAAGTCGCTCGCTGCCTTTGATGCTCTCGTTGAACCGCTCGAAACCGGCGTTTGGCAAGACATGACCGTTTTGTAACATCATGATGGCCTTGATCATACCGAGGATACCACTCGCACCCTCGAGATGCCTAAGCGTGTTAGTGACCTGATATTGGTTCCAAGGTTGCCAGACTTACCCAAAGTTTGACTTCAACGACCCAATGTAGAGCGGGTTGTCAGGCCCCCTGCGAGTCGCGAGCACGTTGACGAAAGATCCAGCTTCGATAGGGTCACTATATCTGTCAGTTCACCGTGTCTTACACTTGGGGCCGTGCCACGAGCAGCCATACCCAACTCTAGTCCCTGTTCCATGTCCCTATGACACGTATCAGCAATGGCACTCTTCGGTCCACGAGTAATACGCACCTCGACGACGGGCGTCTCGTCTGGGCTCAGGCCAACTTCTCGATGGACCCGCCAGAGAAGCTGTTCCTGCGCAGACTGCCTAGGCATTGTAATACCATCCGATCGACCGCCGTGGTTGCAGGCTGAGTTGCGGATAATGGCGTGGATGGGATCACCAGCTTGGACTGCGTCGTCGAGGCGTTTCAGCAGCAGACACGCGCCGCCTTCGCCCCGACCAAAGCCTGACCCCTTGACATCATACGAAAAGGACCGTCCTTCTGGTGATAACGCGCTACACAGGAAAGAAGATCCGTCAGTCACTCGACATCGATACAAGGAGGCGTGGGACTGTACCCCATTGTGTCTAGGAAGCTCCATTGTCCCGGCCCCATGAGGAGCGCAGCACCGCTCGCAAACGCACTGTCACACTCGCCCGCGCGTAGGCTCTGGCAGGCCATGTGCACGGCATACGTGCTACTCGCGCACGCCGCATCGAGGGCGATACTCGGCCCGTGCAAGTCGAAAAAGTACGACAGGCGGTTCGCAAACATGCACGGCGCGCCACCGGCGCACGTCCACGTGGACGAGGCCGGCATGTCCTCTCCCAGCATGTGGCCATGCTCGGGGGAGCCAATGGCCGAGAAGACACCGCTGTTGGAGCCGGCGAGGTGTGGCAGGGTGACGCCCGCGCTCTCGGCGGCCTCGAGGGCGCATTCTAGGAGCATACGATGATGCGGGTCCACGGCACGAGCCTCCTCGGGTCGGAGGTTGAAGAAGGGTGCGTCGAAGCTGTAAATGTCCTCGTCCTCGGGCAGAAAGTGGCCGCCGGCCGCGGCGATGCAGCCGGCCTTGTCCTTGTCTGGGTGATGGTAGGCATCGTAGTCGAAGCGGCTGGGCGGCACCGTGGACCAGGCGGACTTTGCCTCGGCCAGATAGTCCCAGAGACCTTTGCGTCCAACGCCTGGAGCGCGGTAGGAGAGGCCTACGACGGCGATGGGGGAGGGATGTGGTGTGTCCATGCTCATTGTGGAGGCATGAGGAGGACCTTGGGAGAGAGGGAGGCTAGGAGTTGCTGAGGAGCGTGTGTATGTAGGTAAGTATTTAAGTTGTGATGATGTGATGTGTGCCCTACGGTCTTACATGGAGTCGAGGATGATGTACGTAGTCCATGAGGCACTAGGGGTTCCTGCTGTTGCCTAGATGTGGAGAGGAATTAATAGCCAGGAGGATGAGCGACTTGGTGCTCGTCTGGGACAGATGGTGGCATGCTACATGTACGTTTGCTACCTGCGCTGCTTCTGACTGTTCCCGGCCGTGCTAGTGTACAGTACATACATACATATAGACGACTGCAGGTAGGGTGTCATCGAGGTGTCTCTATTCTCACTACCTGAGATGACACTTGACGTGATGCTTCGTATCCGAGACAGGCTGACTTCATGTCGTCAAGTAAGCACAGGTATGGCTTCCCTCCTCTAGCCCCGACTCCCTCCACAAAGAACATTCTCCACCGCTCAGACATTTGCTCTTGAGTCCTACTTGCACCAGGCGGCCGACTCATCAAGCTACGGCGGTCAATTCAAGCTCCGTCACCGTGTCTTTGCGAATCATCGGTGGATATGCCCGACCCCTTCCCGCTTCCGGCATCGTCAACATGGACCTTGCTACCCACATCCAGCCCCCGCTGCCAACATACACGCAGATACCGGCCACGGCAGTCGGCTGGCGGGGTACCTACAAGCAGACAGACGGACATGATATCCCCGCGATGGATGGTGCGTGTGGGGATGGATGGATGGGAGGATCCGCGGCCGTGTGCGGCGCAGACGCATCCTTTGATGGGGAACTCTCCTGCTAGTTTCCCCTCGCGTTTCCCGTCATCGTCATCTATCGTCGATAGCTTCGCGGGACATGTCGTCTTCATTGGCGCGTCGCGCGCGCTGGCCACTCCGATCAATGGAGGATCCGCTCGGTCTGGTGGATGTGCCGCGTGAGTGCAGAATGCAGATACGCCGTTTTCGCTGACCTCCCGCATGTGATGATCCGCAACCAGCACGGCATCAGCACAGCGCGACAGACCACCAGCGCCGGGCGCACGCAGGAATACTGCTGCCTGATTTCGTGGTCTGACATGCGCACGATGAAGCAAGTTCCAGGTACATCTTGTCCATCACACAGTCCCGTCTTCTCTTCTCCAGTCGCGTCCGAGGGGGTTGCGGGTCTAGTCACCCTACGCCCAGCACACAGCAATGGCAACCCTTGGGTTCGGTTGCCTGGGAGAGACAGACAGTGCACAGGCGATAGAAAGCTGGCAACTCGAGTCGTATGGTCCAAGTTGGATTGATGAGAATCAACGCCAAAATGTCGCCAAAGGATATCGATCAAGCGACACTGGCTGCTGTGGCTGCGGCATGCCATGTATCGCCCGACGACATTGACCATGTCTACGATTGTACGCCGCTCCAAGTAGCGACCATGGCCGAGTCCACGATTCATCCTGGCGCCAGTGTCTTCCAGTTCATTCTCAGCCTCTCCTCGTCAGTCAATGAGGACCGGTTCTGCGAGGCTTTGGAGCAGGTTGTCTCGCTGAACCCCATACTACGCACGAGGCTCGTCGATGGCCCATCAGGACTGCTCCAAGTTGTCACGAACCAGAAACACGACACGTCACGCTTCAAGGAGGCAAACGAGAATGATACAGATCTAGCGCGGTATCTGGAGAAGAATAAATCACAGCCACTGGGCCTGGCCATGCCCCTTTTTCGATCTGCCATTGTCGGATCCCATCTTGTCCTGACGATGCATCATGCCATCATGGACCACGCCTCCCTAACCCCTTTATTCCTCGACACATTCGACGTCTACCATGGCCATCAGCCTGTGCAGCGTGCAGACTTCAACGAGTTTGTAGATCACTGCTTGCACATCGACGACACAGTGGCAAAGGAATTCTGGAAATCCCAATTCCAGGGCGCCCCTACTGTCTTCCCACCCGTTGACCGCGGACACATGCCACTGGGGACTCTCAAGATGACTCGCGAGGTTGCTCTGAATGATACCAAAGTGTCCGCAGCGCATGTTCCGTCGTTTCTCGAGACTGCCTGGGCCATGACAGCTGCCGTCTACACGAGCAGTGAAAATGTAGCTTTCGGGCTCGTTCTCTCAGGTCGCCAAGCTGCTGCGTGTCCTGCTGCCGCCACGACCCTGGGCCCTACCATTGCCATTGTGCCCTTGCAGATCAGCCTCAGTCGCGGCATGACGGTGGGGAGCATGCTGAAGACCAGGGCTGCAGCGCGCCGGCAGTTGCAGAACAGTCCATCCCTCCAATATGGTGTGGCCAAGATCAAGACGACCAGCGATGCCGCTAGTGCAGCCGCAGGATTCCAAACATTGCTCAACGTACGTCCTCGCTGGCACGACGCTTCCGACGGTGACGGCAGCGCAGAGCCCTTGGTGACATACCGGGATATGGAGGAGCCAACGGGCGCCTTTGCTCTCACCTTGAATTGCGACCTAGGCGAAGGCGGAGCTGTACATGTCCACTCGGTGGCGGATCCCACTGTCATCCCTCAGCAGCAGCTGGCGAGGATACTGTCGCAATTCGAGCACTACCTGAAGGCGCTAACACAGGCCAGCCATGAGACAAAGCTGGAACACATCCCGCACCTTAGCGCATCTGACTTTGAGGAGATCAAAAGTTGGAACAGTACCCCTTGGACAGATGTGGACTTTTGTCTCCACGATCTCTTCCGCTCCCAGGCCAAGAAAACACCAACTTTAACAGCGGTGGATGCCTGGGATGGACGTGCCACGTTCAGGGAGCTGGACGACATGTCTGACACCCTATCCCACGAATTGCAGAGAAGAAAAGTCTCTGGGTGTCTTGTTGGGTTCTGCTTTGAAAAGTCCATCTGGGCTGTCGCCGCCATGCTTGCCATCCTGAAGGCTGGGGGTGCCTGCGTGCCCCTTTCAACCTCCGATCCCGCAGCCCGCAGGAAGGACATCATCGCGCGGGCTTCGATCAAGCTTCTTCTATTGTCTGGCCCTGAGGCCGAGAATTGCGCCGATCTTGGTGTGGACGTGATGGAGGTGGACGCATCGTCTGTCTCGACACTGTCCAGCGGCCCTAGGGATGATGGCGAGGCTGCACTTAGGTCTGCAGAATCCCTTGCGTTCGTCATTCTTACAAGCGGCAGCACCGGTGTGCCCAAGGGCGTCATGCTGTCCCACCGCAACCTCAGATCTTCTGTCAGTAACCTGATCCAACGGTTCGGTTGGCAGGCTGGCGGGCGTATGCTTCAGTTCGGCTCATACGTCTGGGACATCCATCTGGGAGAGACCTTTGGTGCGCTGCTATCAGGAGGTACTCTCTGCATACCCTCTGAAGAAGACCGGCGCTCCAGGCTGGCGCACTGCATCACGTCGAGCAGGATAGACTGTGCATGGCTCACACCGACCGTCATCCGCACACTCACGCCGGACGAGGTACCCGGCCTCAAGACGCTGATATCAGCCGGTGAACCCGTGGCCTCTGATGCATCCACGACGTGGGGGAAACGTCTGGATCTGTTCAACGGCTGGGGCCCCTGCGAGACGTCCATCGTCAGCGCAGTAGCAGGGCTCAGGCCAGATGCCCCTTATCCAGAGACCATTGGCCGGCCAGCAAACTGTGCCATTTGGCTCACTAACCCAAAGGACCCCAAGCAACTCGTGCCGATCGGTGCTGTTGGCGAGATCCTGATTGACGGACCTGGTGTGGCACAAGGCTACCTCAAGGACGAAGTGAAGACAAAAGCCGCCTTCATCGAACGGCCCGCTTGGCTTCCATCGCTAGACGACAACTCTAGAGACCGCCGTCTGTACAGAACAGGGGACATGGCTCGCTACAACCCAGACGGCAGCATCTGCTTCGTTGGCAGACAAGACGACCAGGTCAAGATTCGCGGTCAGCGTCTGGATCTGGGAGAAGTCGAGAGCGCACTTGGCAGCTGTGCTGCGGTGAGGAATGTGCTCGCCACCACAAAGATTATTGACGGTCGCACCCATCTATTGTCCATCATTGCGCTCATGGATCCTGCCCTCCCCCGGGAGAGCATATTAGGAGAGCTTTCGGAAAAACACGCACAAACCGTGGCTGGCCACCTCCGGGCCATCCGTGATCACGCCCAGAGTCGTCTACCTTCCTACATGATACCAACAGCGTACTTATTCGTCGAGAGAATGCCCCAGACCCCGTCAACGAAGCTCGACCGCGCTCGCGTCAAGCAATGGGTCAAGGACAGGAAGGATCTCGGTGCGGCCGTGAAAGCGTCCGCGAGTGCCCTGGCGAGTAGCGAAACTGCGACGTCGCTTCCAGATACGCCCGATGAGCAGTTGATCCAATCCGTGTGGTCGTCTGTGCTGAACATACCAGGGGAACACATTGGCCGCGAGTCCTGCTTCGTCACTTTGGGCGGAGACTCGGTTTTGGCGATGCATGCTGCCAGTCAATGTCGGAAAGGGGGTCTCGAGGTGACGACGGTGTCATTGTTGCGGAATCTACCGCTCCATCTCATTGCTGAGAATGCGAGAACCTCACAAGAAGATCCGGCCCATTCTATAAATGAAAATGGAGGTGAAGTGTCCTCCAATGTTGATATTCTTGACCGTGACGACTTGGACATCAAGATGGACTTCAAGCCCAACAACATTGAGGCGATTGTTCCAGCCACGGACGGACAGGCCACAATGCTCGCGGTCGGTGAGTTGGAAGGACGCGGGTATTACGTCGACTTTGTGTTGAAGTTTGAAACGAGCCTTGACGCAGAGAAGCTCCGGCGCGCTTGCGTGCAAGTGATAGAGCAGCATGCGATACTGCGGACCGTCTTTGCTCGAGTTGGTCGGCAGCTCTACCAGATCGTCTACAATAGAAACAGCTGGCAGGCGGACATGGTGGCAGTCGTCACTGCGGAGGCAGAAAATGAGCACACAGACAGAAAACAGCTATCCTTTCGCCAAGGCGCTCCTCTGGCGCGTTTCCACATCACAGCCTCGACTCAGGGGGGATGCGAGGCGCTGCGTCTGGAGATTCACCATGCTCTGTACGACGCGGTGTCCATGGGACTCATTATGAGTGACCTGCAGCGAGGATACATCGCGACCGAATCTACCTCCAAAAGTGGTTTAGATTTCCACCGCTGGGTGACACATGTGCAAGCCCTCGAACAAACGCAGTCACACGCTTTCTGGAAGTCGGCGCTGCGCGAAGCATTCATGTCCGCACTGGTGCCCGTTCCCAAGGGCGCGACACGCAACCAACAGCTTCTCGACCAACAGAAGGAAGTCCGCATGTCACTTGACGGCTTGAAGGCGATCCCTCGGGTGACACCCTCCAGCGTCCTGAAAGCAGCCTGGACATTACTCCTTTCCCAGGCTCTCGACACAGACGACGTCGTCTTTGGCGAGGTCAGCGCCAACCGTTACCTGCCACTCGCGGGTGTAGAAGAGGTTCGTGGTCCTTGCGTGAACCAGGTGCCTGTTAGGACCCGAATCGACAAGAGCACGACACTCGCCTCACTCGTCGCTGCGATTCACGAGCAGCATCTCGCCAGCCTGCCGCATCATCACATCGGGACCCGGTCCATCATCCAGGAATGCAGCCCCTGGCCATCGTGGACTCGCTTCAGCACAGCGGTCGTGTATCAGAATCACCACTCTGTGGTGATTGACCAGACGCACAACATGTGCGGTGTGGATTGCAAGCTTACCGTGAAAGGACAGCTGGGCGATGCGACGGATCTTCATGTCGTGGCGATACCTCATGGCGATGAGCTTGTCGTCACGTTGCTCTACTCACCTGACACATTCTCGGACGAGAGGATCCAGTGGATTAGCACGCGACTGGAACAGATCTTGCGTCTCTTGCCGTTCTCTCTGGAACAAAGTGTTGGGCACTTTAGCGAGGCCTTGGGTGGTACTTCCTACCCTTCTGTCGACGTGCCATCTACAGCGGCTGCAACGAACGGAACGCGTCTGGAAGAAGCTGCTTCACCTCAGACGCACAAGGTCGTGGCCGAAGCTTGGAAAGAGTTGGGTCTTTCGCCAGGAGGGCAGACAGAGCAAGAGGACGCGCAGTCACAGACAATGTGGGACTGCGGAGCGGACATAGTCACGGCTCTACTGTTGTCTGAAATGTACCGTTCTTGTGGCTACGACATCAGCACCAAGGACGTTGTCGAGAATCCAAGTCAAATAGCTCAGACACGGCTGCTGGACGGAGGCTTCGGTCCTATAACAGGATAGCAAGATAGACCGAGAAGAGAACAGAGGACATGATCCTTGTTTAGACATCAGAGTGAGTCCAGAAATTCCACCAAGCTCGACCACGTATTCTCTGGCAAAACGCACGACATCCAAATGTTCCCATCGTGATCCGCCCCCATGACCACCACCAGATGCATAATATACGGACCCTCGACGTCGCCCGGGTCTGCAGAGTGATAATACACCGGATGCCCCCGTTTGTGTTGGTTCTTGGCTCCCGCCGACGATGCCTCCTCGACTATTGCCGGACTAAAGTCAATCTTCTCAAAGAGACTCGCCTTGAGCCAGTTGGACATGAGCTGAAAGGCCATGTTCCTATCTCCAAACATGACATTCATGTTGCGCGCCCGCACCGACTCCGCGGACAGGGCGGCGTAGGCCTTCATCTGCTCCTCTGTCGCCTGTGCCGCAATCGCCTGGCGGGCGCGGAGGGCGAGGTCCCCGAGGGACATGTCGACGGCGTCCTGCGCAGAGCACTCAAAGAAGACGGCCGTCGGCGAGTTGCCCGCGTACGCGACGTCGGCGCGGAACGCCGAGGGGGCGCGCGTGCGTGGATCGAGCGCCATCATGGTCACAATGTTCCTGCTCATCGTCGACTGGCTCTGGGCGTTGAGACGACACATTAACGCGGCCAGCACGTCCCCGTCCGAGATGAAGTGTGCGTCTCGTCCGTCCGGTGGGAGGGTGTCTGACGACTGCCTCGTCATCTGGCTCTTGGCCTGCGTGGCCAGCTTCTCCATCGTCGTGTTGGGTATGCACAGCGTGCGTGAAGTCAGGCGTGAACTCTTTGCTTGCCAGACCGCGCGCAGCCCCCAGTACCCGAGCCCCAGCCCTTGGAGTTCCTTTCCGGCTAGGACATGCTTCTCTTGCGTCGGGGGGTCGTACAGACCTTTCATGCCGTCCTCTTCCACGCCTCCAAAGGGCTTGATCTTGTCAGACTCGCCCGCCAGCTCCTGGCACCATGCCTCGATGACAGCTGTGAGGCCCAGCAAGTCGGCGGTCATGTGGGAGTGGCTGAGGCCAACGAGGGTGCCGTCCGTGAAGTTGGTGACATGAAGCGAGAACTGGGGCTTGTCGTCGTAGATCAGATCATCATACGTAGCTGGTGACCCGGGTCCCATGGCAAGCGCGTTGAAGGCCCGTGGGCCCTGGAATGTGGCGACCTTTCCAGTGGCCTGGGGAAGCTTGGACGCCAAAGGGTGCTCATCGATGCGTGTGTTGAACGTCTCTCGGGTGAAGTGGACCGGTGGTCTCTGGGCTGTGAATGGTTTGGGGATGTGAATCTCCAGCTTCCCGTCATTGCTCTGTGTGAAACCATGTTAGTGTCGTCAATGGATGATACGTTAAAGGCCAGCAACATACTCGACGCCTATATCTGCCCCCTAGCTTGCGCCATCCTTCCCTCTGGAAGACGCGTGAGAGGGAGTCGTGAAGTTTGTCAGGGTCCAATCGCTCGTTGAAGCGAAACAACCACACCAGAATGCAGGACTGAAGTGCCGTGGTGCTATCGAATAGATGCACTGGGACGATCTCGTCGGTTGGCACAATCGGGACCTGTGATCGCGCTGGGCCCTTGAAGAAGGGCAGACGCGAGGGAAGCCAGGACATGGCTGTAGGCTACACGTATGACGACGACGCACTTGGCTCAATGCTGTAGAGAGTCTTTGTCGAGAATCGACTGTACATGATAATGTCCAAAGCCATTTGCAAGCAATGCGACAAGCGTATCGCATTCTTGATCCTGCTCAGCTGTTAGAGACAATGTACCACGTACATTGCTGCCTGAGCGGGTGGGGCACACAGCTGCATGCCATCTCATGGGACAGAATTCCGCTAAACGCATGCGAACAGGAGGATTCGCATGCATGATTATTAGCATCGTGATGTATGCACTGGGCTGTGTGTAGTGCGTAATCAACAAGTGGTGGTGGCAGAATAGCGGCATTTCGTCGATTCCCCGCGTGTTCCCACACAGGATAACGGACGTTTGCGGGGGTGATCACCTTGGAAAGGGGCACTTGACTCATGAACGAGATACATCTCGTGAGCTTCCGACTCACTTTCCATAGCCTGTTTTACGCCGAGAGACCGACATCCGTGAACAAGGACGTGCAGCCACTGGCCGCAGAATGTTAGGGTATCATGTATTGAGGAGCACCAGCGCAGCTGTCAGAGCTTGATGTTCCTCGGCGCGTGCCCATGTCCCAAAGGCATCATTGCCCACCAGGCGACGAGCTATCAACAAAAACTATATACTAGTCTGGGTAGGCGCGGACACCTCTATATGTCCCAGAGGTACCTTACAACATGCGGCGGATTTCCTTCTCGCCCATGTACTTCTCAAGCCCCTCATCAAGATGCTCCCACCACTCAAACAGCATCGAGTTGCAGATCAACTTGAACCACGGCGTAAACTTGAGCGAGGGGTCCTCAAACTGCTTCCTCAGAACCTCGGGGGAGACGTATTGTGTGGCCTGCACCTCGTTCGGGCTGGGCGCCAGGTCGACATTGGCCTTGATGAAGAGGATGTAGTCGATCTCGTGCTCTCCCCACTTGCCGTCGCTGGGCGCCTTGTAGTGGATCCTGGTGAGGAACTTGAACTTGTCGACGGGGACCTGCTCGGCCTTGATGCCCAGCTCGTGGTTGAGCTTCCGTTGCGCGGCACGCTTGGCGCCCTCGATGGCGTCCTCGAGGTTGGCGCCCGTCTCGCTGGGGACGCTGAGGGGGTGCGAGCAGCAGGTGTTGGTCCACATGTCGGGGAAGGTGATCTTCTCGGAGGCGCGCTGCTGGAGGAGGAGCTCGTTCTTGTCGTTGAAGAGGAAGACGGAAAAGGCGCGGTGAAGGAGGCCCTTGTCAATGTTGGACATGAGGTGGCCTGGGTCATGGTCAGAAACCGAGGTTCTCTGGGGTTCGTGCGGCCCGCCAACATACAGATCTTCTTGCTCGCCTTGCCGATAGGCGCATCGTTCTCGTCAGTGACGATGCAGACCTCGTCCATCAGGCGGATCTGCTCCTCATCGTGACCGGAGAGCGCCTCGGAGCTGGTGTCGATGTCGGGGAACAACCGGAGCATCGTCTCGGCCGTGATGCCGGTGGTGGTCCCTGTCGTGGTGGTAGACATTTTCGCGGTCGCCAAATGCAATTTCGAAATCAAATCAGTAAAGAGAACCAGCTTGCAATCGGGATGTTGAGGAAAGCCGTGCCACAGTGATTAAATATTTGCCCCTCCACCAGGAGACGAAAAGGAGGGACAAATGGACAATCGCTTGGCGCCCCTCCAGATTCCGCCGCTAGTCTATTGTGGGGTAAAACAATACACCGAATCCACGCCATATCTTGCTTCGGTTGGTTCTTGATCTCTTAAGCATTCTCAGGATGAATGATAGAAAAGACGAAAGGATAACATCTATGTCTCTGTCCAGGATCTTGCTTTTGATTCTTCGGTTCATACCCCGGTCACGTGGGGCCCCGTCTCAACTCGTTCAACTTGACGGTACCGCGAACCCAGGGTCCGGTCTATCGTGGGGATGGTACCTAGTCCTCCGCTTGTACCAGTCCTCATTGTTCGTTCCATTGTGCAATAGGGAATAGAGAAACGCAGTGTATTCCGGTTTGTAGCCCCGTGACCATCTGGCATAAGGTATTCAAGTCAGGGCGTGCAATTTGTGGTGGAGTGGTTGTGCTTGGGGCCTTGAGCCCATCTTCCCATATGCACATACACGAGATATCGTCCAAGGCGAGCGTGCCTCAGCCACGTTGGCGCTGGGCACCTGGGCGGCAGCTCCAATCCATCCACGACTGACGACAGTCACCTACGCCATCCCATCCCCGTCGCTCATTTACCAGTATCACCGAGGCGCTTGACATTGTCCAACTACAATTGACCATTGCAGACATTGGCGCCTCTTTTTAAAAGATCAGATCATAACTATCTACCCCTTCGCCCGGCGAGACATCAGCAGATCAGACTGGCATCATGGCACCCAAGATTGAGCCCCAGGAGATAGAGACATACTGGAACATCTTCTCTGCGCGGACCGGCGGGGGGAAATACCTGACGGGCGAACAAGCTGCCCCAGTCCTCAAGAACAGCAGTCTGCGCGATGATCAGCTCGAAAGAGTATGGGACCTCGCAGACGTCGACAATGACGGCAATCTCGATTTCGAGGAGTTCTGCGTGGCTATGCGAATCATCTTTGACATCCTCAACGGCGTACGCCAGTCCCGAGCACACAGCCTGCCGAATACCGTTGCTGACGAATGCAGGAATACTCGGACGTCCCGACATCGATCCCCGACTGGCTCGTCCCAGAGTCCAAAGCGCATCTCGTGCAGGCGTCGCACGCGCTCACCGGCAAACAACCACAATTCGAGCAAGTCGAGGACGATTCAGATGACCAAGGTCTCAAGGACGGGTTCGATTGGTATATGAAGCCTGCGGACAAGGCCAAGTACGAGTCCATCTACCAGGAGAACCGAGACATGCGCGGCGAAATCTCATGTGGGTGTGCCTCTCTGCGTGGCTGGAAAAGTCACTAACGGTGGTAGTCGCCGCTTTGGAAGACCTGTACGAATCGCTCGATGTACCCGACACAGATATCCGATCCGCGTGGAACCTGGTCAACCCGTCTGCGCACTCGACCATCAGCAAGGACGCGGCCCTTGCCTTCCTCCACATACTCAACAATCGCCACGACGGGTTCCGCATCCCGCGCACAGTGCCTGCGTCTCTCCGAGCCAGCTTTGAGCGCAATCAGATTGACTACCAAGTCGACAACCAGAAGAGCTCGCGATGGGCGACGAAATCCGACGACTCGACCAGCACGGGGCGCAAGACAAAGTTCGGAGAGCAGTATCTGTCCAGACTAGGACGGAGCGGGTTCAAGACGCAGGGAACGGATTTCTCAACAGAGAAGACAGAAGACTGGGAAGAGGTGCGCCTGAAGCGCCAGCTCCAAGATCTGGAGGAGAAGATTCGCAAAGTCGAGGAGATTGCCGAGCGCAAATCGGGCGGGAAGCGGGACTCGAAACCGGCTCTCGTCAAGAAGGAGTTGGACCAGCTCTTGGACTACAAGAGGCGGCAGCTCCGCGAGTTGGAGGAGGGCTCATCCAAGAGCACGGGCGGCAACCTGAAGAGCATTGGCGAGGACTTGCAGACGGTGCGCGAGCAAGTAGAGGGCTTGGAGTCACATCTCGCGTCCAGGAACCAGGTGCTGGAACAGCTACGGCAGGAGATTGAGAACGAGAAGGCCGGGAGGTGAGAGCATACAGAACAGCGGGGCATTAATCTTCAAGGACATATTCTATGTGACTTTCCTCCAACCTTCTGTGGACTTATTAGAAAGCACTGCCATCGACGTACTTGGGTGTCCTCTCGCGACCGAGCGTGCGGCCCTTCATGGCCCAGATGGCGATGGAGGGAGCCGGCACCCAGCCTATGCGGCCTACGCCACGACTGCGACCCATGGAGCAGATGAAGATATCGGCCGGTAGGCCCTTGACGCGGGATTGGTGTTTGCCCTTGAGAACTGCTTCAATGTTCTTGTGCACGGCACCACCCTGCCGAACGTCAGTTTCCCTTGCGATAGCGCCCAAATACACGAGACAAGAGTCGACTCACCTGGGCTTCTGTCTCGGGGAAGCTCGCCCTTGGCCTGGAGACTGCATCACCCAGCGACCAAACCCCCTTCTCGCCCACGACCTGGAAATGTTCGTCCACGTTGAGGTACTTCCTGTCAGTCAACCACTCGGCGGGCAGGAACTCTGTGTTGGGGACCATGCCCATTGTCGCCATGTAGTAGTCTGTCGTGATCTTCTCGCCGTTGCTCAATGTGATCTCCGTCTTGCCATTATCGAGCGTCTTGGTGTCCTCCACCCGAGCAGACTTTTTAATCTCGACGTGCATAGACTTGAGCTGCTTCTCGATGGATGCGTGGCACGAGTCACCGCCCACCAATTTCTCATCAGCACAGAGGAGCAGGACCTGTTTGTCCTTGTACTCGAATTTCAGCTCGCCACAAAGTTCGACGCCTGTGGCGCCCGCGCCAGCGACGACAATGTGCTTTGCCTGTTTAATGTTCTCCTGCGTACGGTGAATGCTCTCAATGAGCTCCTCGTACGTATTGTTGGCCTTCCACGGGAGCGTGTCCTCGGTGCAGCGTGCGCCAGTGGCGATGACGAGGTAATCGTACTTGAGCTGACGGGTCCCATCCGCGGTCGAGACAGTCACCTGGCGGGACGTCTTGTCGACGCCCGTGGCGCTGCCGACGATGAACTCATTGCTCTCGAGGGGGTACTTGTCCAGACCGGGGGCAATGGCCTGAATGTACTCCTCATCAGGAATGAGTCCGGGGAGAACACCTCTTGGCGAGGCACAGTTCCAGTAGAAGTGGCTGTTCTGGATATCGATCAGTGTCGAGGTCTATGATGCAACACATGGTTCCCTACTTTGGAGACGAGGATCACTTTGAGATCAGGCTCATGGGGCAAAGTATACTTTAGAAGACGGTGGACGATGTTCAGGCCGGCCATGCTGCCGCCAAGCACAACTATGGTTTTCGACATTTTGAAGATGGTGTTTGTATTCGACAATGGCAAGTTCAGGTATGTGGTGAATCGGTGAGTGATGAAGCAACCTCCAGAAGCAAGGGCGGAGTGATGGGACTAGTACGGGCGGAATACATTAGCGGATGGCAGTTAGTCTATTCTCTATTGCCTAAGGCACCAACATGACAGCACTGTGCTCATGTTCTCTACAAAGGCTTTACAAGTCCCGTCAACTTACACACGTTGGAATCGATAGTCGTTTAATACATTCTTAACCCCTGTAGGCTTACATGCCTGCCTGCATCATGCATGTCAACCTCGACGCAGCTCTGAGGCACAGACACTGCCTACCCTGCACCTCTTCATCAGCGCATTTGGCTACATAATTTGCTGCACTTGCCATCGAGTAATTAGCTGTCAAACCTGTGATCATCAGAGTTTGTGCGAGAAATTTGCTATCCCTGGCTGGCTAAGACGAGATTGTTTAGTGCTGTGTGTGAACGCACCTAATTGCGGCACATGTGGTACAAATATGGCAACCATTGCGATCTTCTGGGTACAATGTTGGACGTGGCCTCTTGGCGCAAATCATTGTTCATGTTTGGCACACGGTATGAGGCCTCAATCTCCTACTGAAGTTGGATTGTGGGAATGCGTCTGAATAACACAAATGTCAAGCATACGCGTACCACCTGTGTGAGAGGGTGCCCACTCTCGGTCACACTCGCCTGGTGTCACCCTATGCGTCTCACCAGCAGCTCGGGCGACATCTGAAGTCTCAAGTTACACACCTCATGGTTCGTCCTTGCTGTGCCGAGGTAGCAACTCTGCCCAAGCAAGACGAGGCACATCGTCAACGTTTGCGAAATGCAACGGCCATGAACTATTAAAGGGCGTGGCGTATCCTGAGGCTGGCCAAAGGCAGCAGCATGACCAGCATGCTTTGGTAGATCGTTCCTGGGGCCATCTGCTGTTTGCCAATGGTCTTAACTTGTACTACGTATTCACACGTGCAACCTCGAGTTACCCGAAGAAGCCTTTAATAAACCACCTTGTGATGGCCGAAAGTTGATCGCCGCCTCCCGTCCGCCCCACCCTCGCAAGCTTCCACAGTAATCCAGACCCCGACGTCACCTTGCCCCGTTGGCGCCATCTGCTAACATTCCCCTCCCCCTCCTTTTCCACACTCGACCATCCCAACAAATCCTCAACAACGACGACGACAAACAAAAACCACCATTCTTTTCCCCGCGACAACACACCAGCAACTCACTCACAATGTCTGCCTTTGACACCGCCGTCGCCGACTCCAAGAAGTTGACCAGCAAGCCTGGCAACGAGGACCTCCTCAAGCTCTACGGCAAGTCTTTGCATGACCAGCCCCTTTACACAGGGGCGCGATGCGGACGGCAGACAGTCACTAACATGACTATTGCAGCTCTCTTCAAGGTCGCCAACGGCGAGGACATCTCCAAGGCGCCCGCTCCCGGCATGTTCGATCTCAAGGTCCGTCCGCCCCGGTCACCTCTCGTTCCCTCCCCCCGCCCCCGCGAGGACCCCCCACAGATAGAACAAGAGAACTCACAAATACCAGGGCAAGGCCAAGAAGAACGCGTGGCAGCAGGTCGTTGACGAGGGCACCACCCCCGACCAGGCCAAGGAGCAGTACATCCAGCTCGTCGAGAGCCTCAAGGAGTCGTGCGGCTACGATGCGAACAAGGAGCCCGAGGCGGTTGGCGCATAGACGTATAAAGCTACAGTAGCTAAGATAAATGGCGGAAGCCAACGCCTGGGACCCAGATTTGAATAATTTTGTCGCGCTGAAATATATTGCATATCTTTGGTCGCGCCTTGTGTTGCAATGACCACGCCGAGAAGAAGACGTATTCTCATTGCATGCCTTCTGACTTGGCTGCTCCCTCGAGCTGAACAGTATCGTTCGACAATAACGTGAGCTTCACTAAGACCGCACGCGGGCGAGTGCAGGAGATGCCTGCCACACTCCACCTTCTGGTTAAAAATAAGAATCGCCTCTCCACGTTGTACACTGCGTCGATCACCAACAGCCCGCGAGACATACATGAAGCAAGGCACAAGGTGCCTATCGCGCTCGTATTTCGCATGAAGCAGCTGGGAAGCGGAGCAAAGCTATCTGCGTGCATGTCTCCCACGTCAGACGCTACCTCGATTACGTTGGAGGCGCGCGAATTGCCGATGTCGCGTCAACGGCTCCCGCATTCCAGAGCACACACGCTTTTCCTTTGTGGGTTTACGACGTGGGGTCTACTGTTATGTCTCACTTACACCAAACGACAGTCACGTAGTGCATATCAACGCCAAAGTCGTCGTGTATATCAGGTCCATTAGGTGAATACGTACAAACAAGTGAGACGCTAGAGCCATATGCCTCTGCGCCCACCAAGAAGAGGAGCTACCGCGCGCGCGCGGTAGGAGGTATAATGCGAAGAAATATGTACCAAATCCAAAAAACAAAAGCCACCCAATCCCGCCAGGGCGGCCACCATGAAAAAAGTTCGCTCCGAGAGATCACGTCAAATCCTTTCCAACTCCTAGCTATGAGACATGGGAGGTGGGTCTGGACAAAACTTTCATACGCAGACAAGCCTAAGTTGGGACCATCTCACCCCCATTGTGTGCAATCGCTCGCAAGAGGCAGCGGGCGTCATGGCGCACCGCGTCTCTTGCTTTTCATAAACCTCGTCAGAATCGGCGGTTCGAAGTGCTTAGAAGAGAGCGACGAAACCAGCGCCAGCGATGAGCAGGGCAAGGCTGACACCAGAGGTGGCAGCAGCACCAGGCTCATCGGTGTTGCCGGGCTCCTGGGGCGAGGTGGTGTCCACAGGGGCGTCGACGAGCTTGGTCGAGGTCACGACGTGAGCCGAGGTGTAGGCGCTGGTGCTGTTGGTACCGATCCACTTGCTGGTGAACGAGCTGGAGATGGTGGGGGTCTCGCAGATGGTGGTGGTGGTCTCAGGCTCAGGCGTAGTTGTAGGGGTGACCTCGGCAATGACAAAGGCGGTGGAGGTGGTCTCCTCCTCCGAGGTCGTGCTGGTCGTGCTTGTAGTGCTGGTGGTGGACTCCTGCTCCGAGGTGGTGGTGGTGGAGGTGGTGGAGGTAGACTCGGTAGCAGTCTCGAGACCACCGTCAACACCGTACGCAGCGGCGCACTCCTCGAGGTCCATGGAGTCGGGGCAGCACCAGGTCTCAAGCTGGGTGTCGTGGGTGCAGTAGTAGCCCTTGTCGCAGGAGTCTGGAAATTGATTAGCATTGCTCTTTCTTTCCAGGAGCGCCGTGTCACTCACTGCCGGTGCCGTCAGTGCAGCACAGCTGGTCGACAGTCGGGTTGTAGCAGTGGACGGTGGCATCGTTGGATGGGCACTGAACGTAGCCAACATCGCAGGCATCGGCGCAGGTCTCGCCGCCCTTGTTGCAGACAATTTCCTCGGGCTGGTAGCCAAAGGTATCGCGACGGGACAGGCTCAGGTTGGGGACGGCCATGACAGCGAGCTTGTAGGGCTGGGGCTTTGCAGCCGCGTGGGCGGCGCACGCCAGAACGGCGACGGAAGCAGTGCGGAAGAGCATTTTGGCGTTTGAGGTGATTTTCAAAGTGGTGTTGTGAGGGCGGTTGTGAGAGTCGCGTACAAGAGCAGACAGATAACCAAGTGCGGCGTGTGAGCGTGGGGTGCTGAAAGAGCGTAACGAGATTCACTAGGAACTCTGAAAAAGAGGGAATGAGGCGACAAAGGCCGAAAAGTGAGTGTGAGGCACGAGGAGATGTTGCTGTTGTAGTTATGGAAGAGAGGAAGCAGAGCAAGAGACCGAAATGAGCGAGCTGAGACGGGGGGCTGCGAGGGTTATGGTGGGTCGTCGTCGAGAGGGATCTCCTTAATCTTACTGAGGCGGGCGCGGCGCCAGCCGCTGGTTGGCTGCTCATTTCCCCAGCGACGGCCACCCGCTGGGCGCTTTGGGTGTACAGCGGACCTGGCGCTAGACGGTGGCCCGTGCTCTGGCAGCAATCCATGTCGCGTGCCTGGCGCTAAGCCTTTCTGGGACCGCCATCCATCTTGGCTTCATGTCCAGCGGGCAGCGTCTTGCACGGTGATTGGAAAGTGGCCGCCTCCCTCCACGGTAGTTGTAGACAACCTTGCAAATCTTGATTCGATCCTAGGATCGGTCAAAAATCACAGGCAAGTGGAACATTTCTATAATCTTAATTTGCTCTCGTCTCTGCAATTACTGACTGCCTCCGCGCTGGCTTCAAGCAGAGTTGTTGATGGCGCGTGTACGTACGGACTGGAGATGCGCTGTTATGCAACCGCATAGCTGCTGGCGATGCAGGAACGTGGACGCTTCATGTTGCGCCACGTGAGTAATGGTGTCCTCGTCGTGGGCCCACCGGATGCAACTCTGTGCTTTTGAGATTTTCTTTTCCAGCCAGCAGTTTGACTCATTGTTGAAAAACAGAATTTTCTTCCTCACAACGGGACCGAATGAGGCGGTTGACAGCAGGCCGTCGTCTGCGCTGAGTGACTTCTTGCGTGGTGCCGTCAACGGTGAGCGATATGTCACATGCAGTTTGGACTCCTCATCGTCAACTTCAAATCTGTCGATGCAAGTTCAGTAAGCGCTGGTGGACAATTGTGCATTCAACGAGAATCGTCTTGCCGTAGTCCGATGTGACTGGTCTCAACTTGGCCGTACCCTTCATGTCTCTGCCGTCTTGTTTAAGGCATCTTTGAGCCTTGAAGCTCTCCCTTCCTTGTTCTATTTCGCTGTTTCGCCTCCCGGGATCGCTACCCTACTCGTCAGAATGGCGCCAATGAGCCCAGAGCTGATTCTCGCTATCCGGATGGTCTCCTGAGGCGCCACCGAGTCCACTGTCAGTCGAAACTGAGTGAAATTACCCATAACTGGACAATCTCGTGGCGTCTCCTACAATGACAGAACTTGCCTACTGTGCAGTAATGATTGTGTGTGCAGGCAGACAAGCCCGGACTTTCCTCAACTTCAACACCATCACAGTTGACCCAGGCAGTGCCAGTGATCTGGTTCCAAGTGAAGCAATAACATTGTATATCTGTTCCAGCTTTATATGTTGTTCATGTTCTTCTTTCAAGCCGTGTTCCTTCTTCAATCCAGACTCTTCGTCTGCGACGTCGCCAGTCCAACTCCCTCTCGAATATCTGATACAACACGCTCTCCTGTTACACGACCTCTCCACCTCTTCTCATGCCAAGGTTTCAACACCAAGTCTTCGGGCCATGTCCATCAGAGCCACCCTAAGCTGCATCTTGCTGCCATGTTGAACGGATCGCTTGAGCTCAGCAGCAGTCGCCTTCTGCGCTTCGAGCTCACGCTTGATCTCCTCGAGCGCTGTCTGCGTCGCATGCTCACGCTGTTCAGATTGCGTGATCTTGTTCTCCGCTTCCTTCAGACGTCTCTTGACCATCTTCATAGCCTTCTTGGGCTTCTTCTTTGGGCTGGGCGTGTCCTGTCCGGCTGTTAGCACCGTGCTTGCTACACCAAGCTGGGGCTTGCACTGACCTCGGCCGTCCCCCCTTCTTCCTCAGCAGCTGCACCATCACTTTGCGGTCGCTTGCAGCTTTGCTCGTGTTCGGCGTTGAAAAATCCAAGTCCAGTCGGCTTGACGGGCCAAGCAGTCGTCTCGGAACAGTTCCCCCAGTTCTGTGAATCCGTTAGCATGTTATACAGTCGGAAACTGAAATCACGTACAGTTTCCATGCATCTCTTTCCCTGCTCCATGATGTCTGCCTTGCTGGTGGTAGGAGGTGACAATGCCATACCAACAGCTTCAGCGATCCCACTGTCATCCCCATCCTCATCCTCGCTGCTTACGAGGTCAATGACGGATGCATCCCTCTCCGCCAAGATATCTTGGGCCCCGGTAAAGTCGATACATGGCCAGCTCTCTGTTCGTGGGGGAACTTGTCCTGGATATGTCTCTTTAAAGTCACCTCCGAACACGTCTTCGTTGCTGCTCAGCCTGTACCGCTGCGCAATGAGCTTTGCTGCTCTCCCGCGCTTGAACGTGGTCAGCGCCTTCAAGTGATGCTGTTCGTGGAAGCCATTGTCTTTGTGCTGCTCGACGTAGTACAGCCTCAGTGCGGCGAAGACGGGGTATGTGTAGTCGTAGTAGTTCTTTGTGAGGAAGACTCGGTGCAGGTGGTGCTCCGAGGGGACAGACTCTACTCTTCGGGCAACAAGGTCTGGAGGGATGAGGTGGTCATACGCGTACTGAGCATGCTGACGCTCCTCAAGCGTCATCCTCCGTTCGTGTTTAGAATACCAATCGGCGTAAATGCGTTTGATATCGTCGCATTTTACCCGGCCATCGCTATCCAAGCGGAGCTCGAAGCCTGGGTCTTCAGGGAGCGGATCGAGCTCGTCGATCCAAGGGCGAAACATGATTCAAGGTGTGAGTGAGCTAGGTATTGGTTACTAGAGAATTGTAGAAGGAAGAAGGCAAAAGAGTTGATTGTGAAGGTGAAATACAACGTGAGGGTCAGACTGAGCGTCGAGGGGGAGGTTGGAGACTCCTGGGAGCGAGCATACTAAAGGCATTTGTGACAGTGAAAGTGAGAAGAAACTAAGACGAGTGTTAGAGCCATCCGTCATTTGTAGCTCAGTAATTTGAACTCATATGGGAGTTGGCTTTCACGCCAACCGATCTCAACTATTCATCATCAGCAGACTCACGTACGAAAAGGAGTTGCAAAGAGCACACACCCCAACCCCTGCAGAATCAAACAATGCAAACGCAACGCCTATGAAGATTAGCCGTACATATTATACTCTAGTATTCACCGTCTACACATCAGAGCCAGTCCCTTCCACCGTATCCGTTCTATGCGGCTCTGGACTCTTGGCCCCCGACGGCCTCGCCCTGCCTCCCTTGCCCACAATCTTCTCCTTCCAATTCCACTCCTTGGCCGGACTCGCCTCCCCGAAGTCGATATCGCTCTCCACTTCAGAGTCGACCCAGTCGCGATCGGACCACGACATGGAATCGCCTCGCTCCAGCTGGCGAGGCTCCGACTCCTGCTTCGTTCGGCTGGGCGAGCTGGGCGCGGTAGGACGCAGGTCAGAGACTTTGTCTTCTGCCTCGCGTGATTCACTGTCTGTCCGCGCCTCGGATGTCTTGCGTTCGGCGCTCTTCGTGTCGCTCTTGGTCTCCCCGCCGTCCTCGTGCGGTGGTTGGTTCATGTCCAGGGCACGCTCGCCGGACACCTCGTCCTCATCACGCATGCGCGCCGCGGCCGAGTCGCTAAAGTGTGCATCGCAGATGTGCTTAACAACAGGCCAACCATACGCATTCACAAACATGCGTCGCACAAAGATGTTGTTGTGGGCATCTGGCTCGAGCTTGACAAGCACCTTTCGCCAGGAGAGGTCTCTGTGGTAGCCGCGGGCAATCTTCTCCTCGACCCGCATGTTCGATGCATCGACGACGTGATCGGCTCCTGGCTCTTCTGGGCCGGATGCCGGGTTGGCCTCCTGATCTTTGGCCGCCGTGTCGTATTCATCCGTCTTTGACGACCCGTGTGCGGAAGACGACGCATTCGACAGCGTTCCCGTGTTCGACCTGCCAAAGGTTCTCCGGCGTACCGGTTGCGTGGGTCGTTTCTTCATAGGCGGCGCAGGGATGTCTTGCGGGTGATACACACGATCATGGAAGATGGTCCGGGGCCGCTTCGCAGGGTCCACCAGATACTCAACGTCGGGCACGTGTGGGTTGAGGAGATCGCCTGCCGCCTCGAAGAAAGTAGTGCGAGGCGGCGTATTCAGGGCGTTGATCTCCTCTTCAAACTCCTGACCTGTCGTTGCCTTGCCCTGGGCCCGTGGAGGCTCAACCTCGGTAGAGTCTGACGTCCCAGAGGTGAGTGTAGTGCTAGATGCAAGCTCACCCTTCTTGGTCTGACTTTTATCATAGATCTGCCTCTGTTTGTGTGTCATGGGGGCCGGCTTAGACTCGTTGCTTCGGAACAAATTGAAGAAGCCTGACAGGGGACCCGGAACGCCTTGCTGAGATGCCTGCTCGGACGGCCCATCCTCGCCACGGGGCGTGACCACTGATTCTAGGCTCACGCGGTCATCTTCCTCGACAGCATTCGTCGACGGTTGAGGGACCTGAGACATGTGACCCCTGGGCGTATCCGTTCCAGAATCGGTCGTCTGCTCGTGTGATGACGACCCTGGAGGGAGTGATTGCCTGAGCCTCGTGTTCGCCATGTTCGTCCCCGTAAGCTCAGCCCAGCCAAAGCCTACCATTGTCTCGACGAGACCGGCATCTCTTCTAGCCTTTTCAACTCTGCCCAGGCCGTGCCAGTCTAGGAATAGCAGACAACTCGTTCGCAAGGGGACGATGCCATCGTTTACAACGTTTGAATACACCGTGCGATTCCTGAACTTCTTAAGCGCAGTGTGTGCTGGACCAGTGGGCAGAATCCTGAGAAGCGGTTTCGACTCTGGCTGCGACTCGCCATAGACTTTCTTATGCGCGGTCTCGCCGAGGTTGCCCACAATGGCGCCCCATCCGCTTCTGGCCAAGGTCGGTGCCCGCCAGGTCAAGCCCAAGTCCTTTCCTGTGCGGCCCACGAGACCAAAGTCCAGCGCAAACTTGACATACATGGGATTCTCGTTGCTAAGTCCTAGGAATGGAGTGGCGAGTGCGATAAAGTTGATTGGCGTGATGAGAGTGAAGAACTCCGGTGAGTGTTTTTGTATGTACGCAACGGCATAGGTCTGCACGAGGCCTCCTAGCGAATGCGCGATGAAACTGATACTGGTGATCTTATAGGGTCGATGCTCTTTGGCATGGTCACGATGTCTCCCCGCGTGGACAGTGCTGTGCTTGTGCGTTGCTTTGCCTTCGTTGTTCTTGTCGTGAGCCGCTTTGCCCACCCTGGTGTTATGCTCGCTGTGGTCGGTCATATCCTTGCCCGCGGGCAGGAAAGGTTGATCGGGATATGTCATGGAGAGAACATATCGCGCCAGTCGCTTGCCAAGGTACTTGATACCACGCTCCGTCTTAGTTGCATTGCCTGAGTAACCTCGGACAATGACCTCCTCGTCGTCATCATCGTCGTCGTCAACAACTGGGTTCTCCTGGTCTTGGGCTGACCTAGGCTCTGTTGGGGTGGCGCTTCGCTCGTCGTCGGATGTCCTCCTGGAAGATCTCTCCCTGGCACGCCTCTCTTTGCGGTCGATCTTTGCCTGCGCCACGGCTGCATCTATGCTCTCCTTCATGAAAAGCATATCAGCTCCGAGATTGCTGTGCAGCCCATGCGTGAGGACCACTAGATGCACCTTCTTCTGCTTCCGTGGCATGTGGTCCTCCTGCGTCTCTTTATCTCCCGTGTTGACCATGCTCTCTACCGGCTTATCCGAGCCCGCACGTTTCTCAACTCTTTCGTCGCCCTTGTCGTCCCATTCCGGTAGCCGCGGCGTATTCCAGAGCGACGCAGTATCCTCCACCGAGAGTTGTACAGCACCGGAAAAGATACCCTTTGGTTGCCCTGGATGATGCCCATCCTTGGACCCGATGCTCTGCTGATGGTCTGCGAGCTTCCCGGGCTGCGACTGATGGTTCTGGTTTGACATCCCAGGCACCGCGCCACCGAGGCTCAGGGACTTTTTGTCCCGCGCCAGGAGCACTTCGTAGCCAACGGCGGCGCTGGTGGAGAAGATCACCTGGGAAGAGACCTCGACCACCCAGCTCGCCTTCTCTTGATCATGGTCGGCGCTCTTTCCAAATCCACCGTGGGCGCCCGCACCAGCGCCTTGTCGGATGTCCTCTGGCACAATCAACTCACACTCCCAGGAGCCTCCCGCCTTGACCATGGGCTCGAACTCGGGTACGCCATACTTCTTGGGGCTCGCGAATTTCTCGTTTGGATTGAAGCCTTGCGGGTAGGCAGCGACAGAGAGCGTGTAGGGACCGTGGACAAAGGCCGCACGGAGAGCGATCGCAGACGTATTCTTGATTCGAAGGTATAGCTTCTCGGGGGAGGGCAAGATGCGATCTTGGGATGGCGTGTAGGTGACGGTGTAGCGGATGACCTCGCCGACCTTGACGCTGCCTGTCTGGTGCACGAGAAGCATTGTGATGATGACAGGCCCGAGCCGACAATCTGAGCGCCAGGTGGCGCTGGTAGAGATGACTGGAAGCGGTCGTGCTCGCGCCAGCCAGGTTTCGTCCGTGTGCGCGTGACCCAACAGGAGGTGACGGCAACGACGACGACTGGACTGACTGTCGGTGCGGTGGTGGGGGGAAGTCGGATCGGCTGCCGATAGAGGTGCAGAATTATCTTGGCGGGATAATACCTGTAGGCAGCACCTATCGATAAGTCTGGTCCCTGACTTATTCATGGCAACAAATCGACGTCATCTCTTCTCTTTATATTCTCCTACTCAACGCTACTACTGAACGCTACGAAAAACTACTTCGCCACAACTTGTAGTGCAGTTCGATCGGTAAAGGCGTACTCATTGCACACTCAAGAACCTGAGAGCTGAGTCTGGACGTCACTCTCTGCAAGCGGATGTCCTGGGCACGAAGCGCTGGCTTGCATAGCCACATGGCAGCCGGTCAGTATTGTCCCCTCGGACCCCAACTGAACCCGAACATGCCGGCTCATCAGCGACCTCGCAGGCTCGGACATCCGATTGTTCATTGTTGCGTATCATGTCGCGATTAGCTTCCAGAGCAAGAACAGTGTCGCGTGGCCTGGTCGCGTGATGAATAGCCAGCCAATCGGCAGTGAGTGTGGGTGGCCGACTCATCTATGATGGCTCGTCGAACACGCCAGAAGCCAACAACTCCAATTGTTCCAAGAGTGTCATTTCAAGCCACGCGCTGTGGTTCTTAACGGCTAGCTGATGATCAGTGCAAGCTCAAGCGTATCATTGGTCGTGATCAGACCAATCAATCCAGTCTTTATACTGTCTGGAGCAAATGGGAATTCACTGCACTTTGGTGATACCAAACTACAGCGCAGGAGGCCAGTCGTTTGGCTCACGAATCGGTCATCACCAACCTGTCTCGAGCACACATATCGAACCAGTTGCACAATTCGTACGAAAATTCGTCCTCCGACTTCGAGTCTTCGCAAACAATCGATCTTTGGAGCCAGCACGTGTTGCAAGCTCAGCTATCCCAAGTTGAACCTGGAGCGTCGAAATATATCTGTCTGCATCTGCACAAAACGTCAAAGGCTCAAGTTTGATCGTTTGCGCAGTATGATGCCTTGGCCGAAAGACAACACTCTCACTTGTTGGAACAAGCTTCAGATACTTGGCAATGTTGAGAAACTTTGGGCAAAGTAACTATCGGATGCCCAGAAAAGCAGTGAGAATGGCCACTCCACCACCTTCGACACCCGGTCAGCCTGCCCAGTGAAAGAATGTGCATTTCGTGTCATGCTCTGCTTCGTATTGCCGGTCAGTTGTGAAGGAGTCGAGCTAACTCTGACTTGTCGCATGTCACATCCATCCGCTTGACGCGCAAAGTCGACCTCGTTGAGTAGTGACCGTGATGAACAGCGAGCCTAGAGCAACCGACAGCGCGACTACACACTCATCTAGGCCAGCCAAGATTTGAACACGGAGCGCACCAGACGCATTGGGTATTTTCAACACATGCTGCACCCTTCCTGCATGCTGAAGACTTGCACTCACGGCGGGGCGTCCGCGAAACACACCATCAGTCAAGCACAAGAAGGACCAGTATGCCTAATGTTATGCGGGAGTGGTTCACAGCTACTTTATCCTGCCCGAACCCGCGTCAGAGTGTGCTCAAGTCCGATGCCGAGCGATGTACGGCTGCAGCCGGGGGCCAAGAATGCAGCTTGCCATCAGATCTGATACCCGAGATGGATGGTTGTGTATGTTGTGCAGACAGTTTCTCTCCCCTCACGCAAGCAAGGCCACAGATCAGGCAACTCGCAGAGGAACAAGCTTTCGGCAATTGCTATCCCCCGCCTCAACCGCATCTGCTTGAAACCCCGCGGGGACTAGGCATCCTTTGCCGGCTCCGGCAGTCCTTTATGCAGATCAATCATCACATCTCCTTGCTGCGTGGGTCACGTCCAGATATGGTTGTTTCGGACGTTTAACGTCCGTGGATCGTGAAACGCGCCGCGTGGGACAGTGCGGCAGATTGACATGAATTAATTACTCCAGTTTACCCGCCTGAACGACCTGGCAGAACGTGATGAGGCTGTCGTTTTGGAAAAGGACGTTGCACTCCGACAAGGTTGGATTCAGTGACGGATCTGCACTTGGCAGTACATCTTCATATACTGCGAGGGCTCGCTCATTTTCGCCTCGTCCCTGCCTCGCAGGTTGACCACTCTCTGTACTCCTGAAAGACCAGCCGTATTTCGCCATGAATGCTCTCGCTGTTCTCCTCCTGGCAGGCCAGGCGTCGGCCACTTACCTCTATGTCGCGTCCTACTCCGGCTTCGTATCGACGCTGAACCTCACCGAGACTGCGAGCGGCATCGACCTCGACATCATTGCCCAGGACAACAACTGCGGTGCTATTCCATCGTGGCTCACCCTCAAGGACGATGGAACATTGATCTGTGTCGACGAGGGCTGGCGAACCTGGCCAAGAGGCACGACAGCCATCTACTCGACCAACGACGATGGCTCACTCTCGCTGCTAAGTTCTGTCAATGACGTACTAGTTGGTTCTGTCAGCACTGTCGTGTACGGTGATGATGACTCCCACTTCGCCATTGCCCACTAGTAAGTCGCTTGTCGTACAAATTCACACGCGTTCCGCCTGTTGACGTCTCCAGCGCCGGGTCAGGTATCTCTGCTTGGGACATTGCCGACCCTTCGGTCCCATCCATGATCCAGCAGGAGATTTACGACCTTGAACAGCCCGGAGCCGACCCTGTACGCCAGGAGGCCGCACACCCTCACGAGGTCATCAAGGATCCTACCGAAACGTACATCTTGGCCCCCGACCTGGGCGCCGACATTGTCCGCATCTACTCGATCGCCAGCGACGCTACACTGGAGCCTGTTGAGCCTCTCGAGGTCCCTGCTGGCAGTGGCCCGCGCCATGCTGCCTTTGCCGTCATCGACGACGCCACGTATCTTTACATTGTCAACGAGCTCGCCAACACGATTCTGGCATACACCGTCACATACACCGAAAGCGGCATGTCCTTTGACGAGATCTATCACAGCAGCATCTATGGCGAAGACGGCCAGGTCCCTGATGGGGTCACCAGTGCTGAAATCCTCGTCACGGTAAGCTCTATCACTAGGGAAGTCGGAATGACACGGTAATCGCTGACACTTGACAGCCCGATCAGAAGAACGTCATCCTCTCCTCCCGCATGGACAAGTCCTTTGAAATCCCCGCCTTTGACGGAGACGGGTCAGTCACGTCCGATACCTTGGCCAACTTTGCCATCGACCAGTCGACCGGTGTGCCAGAACTTCTCCAGACGGTACCCGCCGGTGGCATGCAGCCTCGCCAGTTCTCCACCAACGCCGAGGGCTCTCTGGTCACCGTTGGACTGCAAGGTGACGGTCGAGTAGTCGTTATCGAGCGCGATGTCGAGACGGGTATGCTAGGCGACTTTGTGGCATGGCTTGATGTCGGGGGCGAAATCATGTGCGTGGTCTGGAATGAGCTTTGAGAAGAGATAGGGGGAATATGGAGTGCTGTCAGCGGGATGCCGCAGTCGAGGGTGGTTCCATAGACAGGTTAGCTACTCAGGGCTTCGGACGTATGGAAACAGAGCACAAGCCTCATTTCAGGTGGTCCATTATCCTCTGCTAGCATCCCAGGCTCGAACGATATGCATTGACCCTGCCTACTGTCGAGACAAAGACAGGAGCGGTCACATCATGCCAGGATTTGTTGGTAGCGCTGGGCCTTCTCAAGGGTGGGTATAACTGGTAGCGTCGACGACCTGATACCCGTGGCTTCATGCAATATTCGACTTTTGAAATTGGCGAAACCAGGTGAGATTACTGGCTTGCACCGAAACATGCAGACTACCCCATATTCAGGATAATTTGCGAGTCATGCACGGGATGGGGAATTCAGCCTAATGAAGATGGACCGATCGTGTGGCATGGGGGGCGGCCGGGAGAACTTCACATTCCCATTCCTGTACGGCTACCCATGGGTATCCCTAGCAGAGCAAGAGGGCTTCGCCTTGGCTGCATACGTCTGCCGCCCCTAGCGAATTATGTCGTTCTGTCGCATCTTCTGTTCAAGTGCTCCTGTTGCATCCTCGCCGAAGATGAAGTACTTTCCCCTACGGGATATCCCGTGCTCTTTACATGTATACTCGGAATCTTCTCAGTCATCCACGTACTCCTTGCGATCCTGGCTATCCCCCGCACTCAAACGATTCCCATATCTTGCCCAGAGGGGCGACGAGGGTGTGATATTTCTTAGCCCTTCTGTAGCAGCTGCCCGTAATGTCTCATCGATCTGCTCTCCACGATGCTGGGCTTGGTCTTGGAACACAAGTGTTCATTCGTCCTCGCACTCGGGCCAGTCTAGCATGCTTGGTCCTCGTCTACACCAGAAGCGATTTGGCGCCTCTTGAGAGATAAGTGGTGACTTAGGCTCTCGTTCGTAGCGATTTCTGAAGATATGGTGATCTGTGAAGGCGTCTAGTGTGTCCCACCGAGGCCTATTTTCTGCTGTAGCGAGAATTGGCAAGGGACATGGGGTGTTTGCGAGAACTCCCGTGTCATTCAGCAAGAACCTGATGAGTGCATCAAGCTGAACTGTCGTCGGAGGATATAACGTACAAGCTCCGTGTATCCGATGGCCTTGCATCCATATGGCTTTGCACTATCCATATTCAATGAATCAGTCACATGAGTTCCAGGGGTCAACCTACGTCCGTGTCCGACTGTCCTCGGTCAAAGAGCATGACCCCGCCAAAGATCTCACCCTCGAGCCAGTACGCGGCTGCATCGGCCAGACCGTGAGGGTATCTGTCCGGATCATGGAACTCCCGCTGTACAAATGCGGTGTACGGCAACATGAAACCACGGCTGTGTCGACCATTGTTGGTGGAGGGTAACTGGCCTTCGCGCCATTCACCATGTAGCCGATGCTTGTATCTCCCTTCATCAAGCGAGTAGATATGCACAGCGATCTGATGAACGGCGGTGACGACCATCTCCACGAGTCATAGATTAAAAGCATTCGAGCCAGGTGTAGTGTTTTGAAACTGCGTGAGTAGCTACGAGTATGAGCTGAAGGCATCCGCTACGAATGATAGAGATACTCGCCAGTGAAATCCAAAACCAAACGACTCTTGTTGAATGTAGATCTTAGCTCCTTGGACTTAGTCCGCGCGCTGTCTGACACTTCCGCATGGTGAAGCTGATACACTGGGTGAGACTTCAGGTACCAAAAGCTCTGGCGCAAAGAGGCTTCAGTTGGCAGTCCCTCCAGCAACTGAGAAAATGCAGATTCAGCACATGCAGTGGACAGCAAGTTGTCCAGCGCTTGGTCGAATGTGCGCACATGCGCAGCGTCCAGTATATCGGCATGAGAAACGACGTCTGTAAGGAGGGGCGCCGACATGATGTTGACGAGACGAATGTGTTTCAAACGGGTCTCCAGTGTTTTCTTCATTCAATCAACGATGAAAAATTGCAAAGTGATCAAATGATCTGAGAGTTACACGAGGGCCTAGCGTGTGGTCGCAACGCCAAGGCAGACGACATGACAGAGTGCTTACTAAGGAGTGATAAAGGCTCTCGGGCAGGATGAAACCTAACTCGTTTTCCCTAATGATAAACGACATATAGACAAGCCAGTCGACCGAGCACTTCCTCGCTGCTGCCGGGTCCGACGACCCTGTCGTGACGATGACTGGTCTTCCTCGAGGCGCAATTGGAGCCAGTACTAGTTGTCCTCCCCAGAAGCTCTGGAATACTTTTTATCGCAGACCTTCGCTGGAAGCCTTGTTATGGACTTATATCTAACACATATGTGAGTTTATTGTGCCACTATCCGGCCAGAATGTGGAGAGCCAGATCCGAAGCCGTGCTTGGGTTGAGGGAATGAGCACAAGGTGAGTTTTATAGTCCCCTGGCTCTAATATCGTCATGCATGCTCGAAGGTTGCCGACGACTTAATACGAATCTCGGCTGTTGTGTGTTTCTGTTAACCGTATCACTATTTGACTTTGGGGGCTACGTTGCGGAAGCCTTTGCACACCGCTACAGCCAGTGGCACCTACATGAAGCTAGCGATGGAGCCCCCGAACTGAAGGGTTGCTTTGCAGGGCTCCTCGCTGACTTGGGTTGCTGATCAGTCCAGGGTGCCCAAGGCTCTTGACCTGCTCTTGGGGACACTATGGTCCCTGCCACGGGGAAGAGCGTTCACATGCTGGTCGCCAGAAACATGGCGAACATGGTCCAAGTCCATGGCAGTATCCAAAGTGAAAACGTGGGGAGCGCACGACGTGGCTAGGCCACCTTGAAGGCGCAGTTTTTAATCAATAGTGCGTCGTCCTTGCATTTCAATGTGGCCTTGTTGATTGCTCCATGTACGGGACATGCATGCCTCTTGTTAGAAACATAGATGAGGAGACAGACACGCTACGCTGGCCACCCCCGGATTTTCAGCGCAAGGCCCGCGCCGGGGCCCCCCAAACAAAATAGGCTCGGCCAGGGGAGGCAACTGCAGTGCTTCTCCAATTCGGCCCGTGGCAGTAATTATGCAGTCAAATCATCATGTGTTGAAAACTGGAGTGCCCAGAAGCTGCGAAGACATTACTCAATCCTGCTCTTTGTGCGGAGTAACATTGGTGGAATCATCTTGGTCCAGTGCCGACGGTAGCAAATCCTGTCTCTGGAATGATGAACGATTAATGCTCGCATGAGCCCCCACTGACTGGCAGGCAGTCGTGTGAAATGATGACTTTTTGCGAGGCAGCCAAAGAAGGCCAGCGTCAAATCAGGGCCCAGGCAGGCTCTGCGATTGCCCCCTGTGGGGGAGATCAACGCTGAGGTCTGGGGACGACGGTCGATGGTGGGATGGTGCCTGCCAGCTTCGCGATGGGTAAGCTTTTGGTCATCTGCAACGAGGGTGCATTGCGTCGCGAGGTGTCGCGCGCGCGACTCGATGCGAGGGCCAAGAGAGTGCCGGGATGCGCAACTGCTGGAGGGCCGGTGTCGAGCCTGTTGGGTGGTGATGGATGTGGTCTGGTGGGAAAGGTCGGGGGGCCGGCCGACTTGAGATGGGAAAGGACTCGAAGGGGGGCGGGAGGTACAGTGTGCGCACCGTGCAGCGTCCAAGCGATCGGCCTCGTGCGGGGACGGGCGCGTGCTGCAGTGGCAGAAACAGTGGACGCACCGTCACGCACCCCCGCTGTCTCTGACCGTGCGGGGGTTGAAACCTCCTACTGTAGCTCCGGGGCCCCACAGGGACGTGCCTCCACTGCTGTCCACTCCAGGCTCCAGTCCAGTCCAGTCCGTCGGACGTCCAAGACTCCAGTCTAGCGCTCAACTGGACCCCGGTCTTCCCTCTTTGAGCCGCCTGGCGGTGCACCAATCGCTCTCTCGCAATCCTGGTCTACCTGTCAACTTTCTCCCCGTCGCCGGGTCTCGTCTAATTAACTGACTGACTGACTGACTGTGCTCTGCCCGCTTGACAAGTGCGGTGGTGTGGTGTGGTGTCTGGTGGTTTGGGTGTGGCTCGCTCCCGCGTCCGAGTCCTGACTGCGCTCGCTCGGCTCATTGTTGTATCAAGGGTCCATGTCCCCTCTGTCGTTTCCCGTCGTCCGTCCGTCCGCTCGAGACTTTTCTTCCATCAACGGCTGTCTTGTCTTGAGCCACGTAAAGTACGGCACCCTCAGCGAGTTGGACGGCCGCAAAGCCTCCCTCAAGACATCACCACAGCCCACATCATCGTCCAGTCGTTAATTAGCAGGACCAGACCAAACCAGACTGCGCTCGGCTCGACTCGACTTGAGTCGCCCTGCCTCCAGCTGTGTCGTGTCCCAATACTCTGCCGTCCCCCGCCATGTCGCCTGTCTGATGGTAATTACCTGCAGCCTCCCACGTTTTCGTCGCAGCAGTTCAGCGCATAGGTACTACTACTGTACACGCAGTCGGCTCTCCAGTCCTCCTGACGGTAGAAGCGCAAGGCTCGCCTGCCGAGACAGCTTCGCCTTACCACGCACAGCCTTCTACGTTCTCCGCCTTCCGCGACGGCTGTGGACCAGACCTGTCGAGTCACTGGACTGAACAGACGCACCATGTCCCCGTCCTCGACGGGCGACTCTCCGCCCTCCGGCATGGGCAACGCCTCCATGAGACACTTCCCCGCGCAGAGTCGCGAAACATTCACTATTGAAATGCCCAATGCGACCCTGACCGCGGTCCCCAACGGCTCCCACTCCATGAGGTCGCCAAACGACTTCAAGGTCCAGCGCACGCCCAGCATCAGCACACCAAGCATACAGGCGCCCTCGATCGGCCGAGAGGGAATCCTAGGATCGACCAACAAGGGGCGCAACGGCTCACAGTCGAATGAGAACCAGTCGAACGGCTTAGCAAAGCTGATGCAGGACGAATCTTCCAATCCGCTCAAGCGAAGGAACACGGCGACTGACGTTGGCGTCGACTATCCCCGGCGACGAGCCACGATAGCTGTATGTTCTCCCATGAGGGCGTCCTCTCCTAGTGATAGGCACTGACACGATGACAGTGCGAAGTATGTCGCTCTCGAAAATCGAGATGCGACGGCAACAAGCCCAAGTGCAAACTATGCACAGAGCTGGGCGCAGAGTGTGTCTACCGCGAGCCTGGCATCAAACTTGACGCTGGGGACAAGCTGATCCTGGAGCGCCTAAATCACATCGAAAACCTTCTCCAGATGAACATGTCCGGCGGCCAGATCAACGGTGTCAACCTCAACCACAACCAGGAATCACCACCCATGAGCAACGGAACAGGCGGCGAGAATGGGCTCATGTCTGGTTCGAACAACGGATTCGTCTCGGTCATACCAAACGGCGGCTTTGGCACGTGGACCACACAGCCAACGACGACAAACATCAACACTATGCCCAAGGTGCACACCAATGCCGCGATGCACCTCCTGCAATGGCCACTTATACGTGATCTGGTCTCGCGCCCCTACGACCCGCAGATACTGCTACAACTCGAGATGGACAGGGAGCCGCTTCACTCGCTCACAAAGACACCTTGCGTCGACCTGTCCAACACGCAGGCCTACATTGAGGCATACTTTGAGCGCGTCAACGTGTGGTATGCCTGCGTCAACCCATACACCTGGCGCAGCCAGTACATGACCGCCCTGTCCAACGGCTTCCGCGAGGGCCCGGAGAGCTGCATCGTGCTCCTCGTCTTGGCGCTCGGGCAGGCCAGTCTGCGCGGCAGCATTTCCAGAATCATGTCAAACGACGACCCGCCTGGTCTGCAGTACTTCACGGCCGCCTGGTCGCTGCTGCCAGGCATGATGACTACCAATACCGTCTTGGCCACGCAGTGTCATTTGCTGGCGGCCGCCTACCTGTTCTATCTGGTGCGGCCGATGGAGGCCTGGAACCTTCTGTGCAGCACCAGCACCAAATTGCAGCTGCTCCTCATGACCCCGAACCGGGTGCCACCCAAGGAAAAGGAACTTGTGGAGCGGATCTACTGGAACGCACTCCTATTTGAGAGCGATCTACTTGCCGAGCTGGATCTACCCCATTCCGGGGTCGTGCAACTCGAAGACAACGTCGGCCTGCCCGGCGGCTTCGAGGTCGAGGAGGGCGAGGGCGTGGGCCGCGACGAGCTGTGGTACTTTCTGGCCGAGATTGCCCTCCGACGACTGCTGAACCGGGTCAGCCAGCTCATCTACTCCAAAGACTCCATGGCCTCGACACAGAGCCTGGAGCCCGTCGTGGCTGAGCTCGACTACCAGCTTACGCAATGGTACGAAAGTCTACCGCTACCATTGCAGTTCCCCTTCACCCGAACCATCCTACAGGACCCCGTGCAGACGGTGCTGAGACTACGGTTCTTCGCCTGCCGGACCATCATCTACCGGCCCTACATCCTCGCCGTGCTGGACAATGAGCAGGCGCTGCTGGACCCAGCGGTGCGAGAAAATTGCCACAAGTGCCTCGAGGCCTCCATCCGGCAACTCGAGCACATCGGAGAGCAGTAAGTAGACCGCCGATCCAGAATGTTTTTTTCTGGCTGCTTTATTTATGGATCACGGCGCTAACTCGGATAGTCATGCTGGTCATATGCCGTACATCTGGCAAGGCGCACTGTCCATGGTCTCGCAGACCCTTTTGGTGATGGGGGCGTCCATGTCACCCTCCCTGCTCAGCATCCTCCTCACCCTCGTGCCGCATCGAGAAGCCCTAGACCAGATCATCAACGATGTCGTCATGGAGGTTGAGCGCTACGCGTTCCTGGCGCCAAGCCTGGGTCTCGCGGCCGAGATTATCAAGGAGGCTGAGATTAGGAGACGAACTTTTCTCGCTGGTTGAGAGCCCTCCGTGCCGCCACTAGCGCTGCGGCGGCGGCGGCGGGACCAAGGGTTCCTGGAGGTTGTAGTAGTTGAGGAGACGGGGGGCTCGGGAGGACCGAATCGTATTGGGTGTGTGTGGCCTATCATGGACCAGAATCCTCCTGCTACCGTCAACAATCTGTTAAAGCCAAGCCAGGCCAATCCTCTGGGCCCAGCAAAGACACCATCTTGAACCATCTGTGACACCCCGGTGGTGGCATCGTGTTCCTTGCGTAATGGTGTACTACACTACACTAGCTATCAATCTGGGCACTGAACAGCGGAGATACCCCGAGATGACGATGGCACGATTCGTCGCTCCCTACGTATACGTAGCATAGTCGGGCGCGAATCCTGTTGAGGGCTGTCTCGACGTGTTGTTGAGTCGCCCGCGAGGCACAGGGTTTCGACGGGGGGGATGCCGCACCTGGCGGCCTTGCGGCCCGACTTACCGACCGCCCTTTCAGGATCCCTTCCGTCACCGATGATGATATAATGGACGACGTATTTCGGGGACTTGAGAGATTTTTTGGCTATTTTCTTTTCTATTATTTTCTTTTCTCCCCAGCTCGACATGCTTGAGAATGTCAGCATCTTTCCGTTTTGTATAAGACACACTGCATTTCATATCTTCTGTGTAATCGTCGCCTCTGCGCAAGAAGCTTGCCTAGGCTGGACCTGGATGGAAGTACCAAACCCGGCTAGGCTCACGTGGCAGGCACTTTGTATATCTTATTAGTAGGCAGGATGTTTCTCATCGTCGACGGGGCGTATGGTTTAAGATGGCCGGAGCAGGCCGGAGTTCACGGCGAGGTAGGATCAGGAAATGACATGGGTTTCCAGCTTCGTCGTCCAGTACGTTAAAGAAACTCTCGCCAGACATCCATTGTACCAGCAAGCTCTACGAGCAGTGAGATGAGATCCTTGTGTTGCCATTGATGAATGAAGCCTCTAGTGAGTATCAATGTCGTGAAGTTGGCAGTACAGCTGAGATAGCCAGTCTTCCAGCTCAGGTCGTAAGTCTAGTCCAGCTCCAGCAGGTCTGATAACTGCCGCGTACACATGCTCTTGGTCCATACGCCAGTTTCGTCTGCTGTGAATCGCCCTGGATACACCGCATGATGCGTTACCCCAAGGTCCATCCACGTGGAGCGCCCGAAAGTCTAATCAACACGGAGCCGGCCCGGCCCTTTGACAGACTCAAGAGACCCATAAAAAGTCCGGCGGTCTCCGATCCCGGCCCTGAAGCGTACCCCGACGAACAAGCGCGCCACAGTCAAGCTCCAAGGCGTATACAGCTCGTGCTCGTACCTGTACGTACGTAGCTCCCTTACTACTCCACCTCAAAGTGGAAACAGCGTTTAGCGAGGACGCGTGTGCTGGCTGGTCTCGAGGCATTTGTGCTGCGTCGCGTCCCATTAGCTGTTCTTGGATGGAATCGCAGGTCAGCTGGTCAGGTCGTATGCAACACGACCAAACGCCAAATGTCTCAAGCCAACGGCAGGCCCCCCAGCCTGCCCACGCATATCGCTAGGCTGATCCTCGCTTGGCGGTCGATGGGAGGCGGGGGACCAACTGTGATGAGGATCATGAGGTTCGCTTGGAATGGTTTCATGCTACGGACTGTGATTGACAATGATGGGTGCACGTGATGAGACCAGTGCTCTAGTCTAGGAAAGAGCGAGGCTGGGACTCCTGCCCAACTTCCTCGTTCGTCAATGGACGTCGCCCCGACCTCGTTTTGTCTCGTTTCTGATCCATACTTCCCCCTCATTCTTCACTTTGCCGTGGCTCAGCTCCATCGCCAGGTACGGCAGACGAATCTCACTGCGAGCGCCAGCTGCGGAAGCCCCAGTGGATCACCCGGTGGGTAGCGGCATCAGCCCGCCAATCCATGTCCCTGCACTGCACCACCTCCGCTTCTTCCTCAATGATCAATCGATAACCCCCCCTGCCGACGTGCTCGACCCTTCTTCCGATCGACTGCTGCTGGCTGGTCCAACATCGCCTTCCCATCGTCACCCGCCATTGCCAGTTCGTCACCTGATTCATCACTCGCACGCCGACTCACTCTGCGACAGCCAAGCAAACGCGAGGCGTTTCCCACGTCTCTCTCCCTCTCAGCCTCACATTCACAGCTGGCTCAGGGCAATCAGACCGTTACGTGTGGTGTGTGGCCCACGATCATGCATCTCCATCTCCCCGCATCGCCAATGGTGATTTGAGCTCCGAATCAGCAGCGCCGGCCACCCTTCATCACACGCTCCTCGTCTCTTCCCTCTACCGACATACTCTCTGCTCTGCCAGCGTGGTCACGTCTGACTGGCCCGACACTCGCCCTAATCCCTCGTCCGATCCAATCCAATCCCACCTGCACACCTTCTTTTGCCCTACAAACCCTACCGACATTGGGTCGGTTCCTGTGTCGACGCCCAACCGAAAGCCCGCCCTCTCCCTTGGGAGGGATCTGGACCACACCATGCCGAGAGACTCCGATCGACGCCCTAGGCGTCCCTCTGATTTGTCGTCGAGAGACACGCGGAGTGCCATACAAAGGGAGGACACCAGAACCTCAATGGGTTCCTCAAGAGGCGGGGACAGGCGTCGTTCTGGGGACATTGTACCTCCAAGAGTCGCCATGCCACCGCAGGCTGCTTCGACATATGTTGCGCATTCGTCAGGACGAGATGGCAGGGAGTACCGGAGACCGACTGCATACACCGCCGCCGGGCATGATGTTCCTAGATACGGCCACGCATACCAGCCCGCAGCGACCCGGACCCGGAGAAAGAGCAGCCCGAGTGTGGACAAGGAGTATCGCCAGAATAGAGTCTCGACAGGTCTCACCTCTTCGTCGGAAGAAGTGGACTCTGAGGATGACGATGATGACTCGGATGAATCCGACGGCGACGTGATTGTCACCATCAGCAACACCAGACGACGTCGGAGGGATACAATCGTTCCACAGCCGGAATCGGACGACGACGACGACGACTCCTCGTCGCCCACTCGCGGTCGTGGACACAGGGAACGTTATGGCGAATCGTCGGAAGACGATGACCCTCGTGGAGCAGAGCTGAGAACGCCCTCCACGTCCAGCCGTGACGAGGACATTTCGCCCTCTACCAAGAGAACGAGGCGAAGGCTTATTGAAGCCGCGCCAGCGCAGTCACAGTCTCACCGCCCGAGGGTAGCTAGCGATGTTGTAGAGCAACAAAATCCGCGGTCCACGAGACGGTTGGTCTTCTGAGCTTGTTTGTGGCTATCACGCTAACTTGCCTTCAAGATCTTCCAGGCGCACTGAGCCCGTTGTTCTGCAACAGCGCGTCAGTCCTCGCAAGGTACGCAGGGAGCCATCGCACAGCGATTCCAGCAGGTTGTCGAGCATTGTCTCTGGCGGGGCCGGCACGCACTATCACGCCGATCAGCCCAGAGTCAAAGTCCGACCTGCCATGCCTGCCAGAGTGTAAGTTGCACCCGTCCCACCCTGCCAACCTGGCTGACACCTCGCCAGGACCAATTGCCTATCTTGCAACACTGACCAACCTGTCGAACAAGTTTCAAGGTTACAGTGCGGTCACAAAATGTGCGAAAGCTGCTTGAAGCATAAATTCGAATTGGCTTGCAAAAACCCACAATACATGCCTCCGACGTGCTGTACTGACGAGGCTATTCCATATGACTACGTTGAACCACTGTTTGACACATTGTTCAAGAAGGCCTTTTACCGCACATCACGGGATGCGGCGACGCCAAGTCGGCTATACTGTCCTTCAAGATCATGTGGCGAGCACTTCGTCCCGAAGCTCGTCAAGAGCGACGGCGTCCGGAACAGCACCCGTTGCGACGTATGCAATCAGAAGATTTGTCTCTCTTGCAACAGCAAGTGGCACACTGCGCCTGACTGCCAAGCCGAAGCCGCTGGGCCCAATCACGCGAGGCACCCTCGGGATGCGGGACGGCAGAGATGCCCACCCAGCATCACCACCACCGGCAACAAGCAATACTACGCTGACAGGAACGTTGCTGATGAGGAATCAGAAAGCGACGATGACCCTCCTGTAAGACAATTTGCGGGGCGCCGGGATGCCAGGCCTCGCGTATATCACGCAGAACCCACGCGCCAACGCAAAGTGCAAGACAACTATGACGAAGACCTGGCACGGCAGATGGAGTTAGACATGGCATTAGAAGATACAGACGATGATAATGAAGAATACGACATTACGGTGGGCCGAGTGGACCGAGATGGTCTAGGTATTTCGTCAGGCCGTCGACGCAACACGCATTACAGTCACAGCAGCGGGCGAAACAGAACCCAGCCGCGCGAATCGCCTCCAGTCCATGAGCCCGGCTACAAGACACCTCCGCGATCCGTCTATGACAGAGGCAACTATGTCTCGGAAACCGGACGCGCCAGAGGATTGAGGAGCGACTCGTTCAGGGAGGGTTCGATGGAGCGACGCCTCGCGCAAAGACTATCTGAGCCGCGGCCCAACGCAGGCCCGCCCATGGGGTTCCCTCCAGGTCCGCCCCATGGTGGTCCTGCGGGCATGATGCCGCAGGGTGTACCGCCTCCTCCAATGGGACCTACGCCCTATCATCAGCCTCACCAGATGCGCATGCCCCTGGGTAGTGTGCCCCTGACGAGCAGCCCTCCTATGATGTCTTCTCCTCCACACCCGTTTGGCAGCTTCCCACCGCACCCGTCACAAGCGATACACTACCAGCCACCGCCGGCGAGAAGCATGATGTCCGACTACGATCACGGCGGTAGTCCCAGAAGCAGCACCGGGCCGCGGTCGTCGTCCATGGCGGGCTTGAGCTCGCACGGCGGTGAGGGCAAAAGCAGGGTGCACGAATGGCGCAGGCATGTGGACGTCGGTGTGGCGGCTCACGAGGAGTACACTGTCCCAGCGACGATTCCGGAGGAGCGGATGATTTCCGGGTGAGGTGATGGTTTCTCGGTGTGGTCATCTACTCGCTGCTATCTTGCTCTTGTGTTATCTGCTTCTTGCTCCTTGTGCATTATGATGAATACGACGTTAATGATCTGTGCAATGTGCGGCCATGTGACGTGATGTGCCGAGGTGGAATGGTTGAGTCTGTTGCCTTCGCTATGCCAGTGCTGAAGAGCCATTGTCCAGAACTTGTGTACAGGAGTTAGGCGCTACATCGTAGGAGGACGAGGCTGATCGCGGGCCTCGATCCGAGCATTCGGCGATGTGCATGGAACGCAAGCAGTCTTAATCTCAATCTACTGTTCTATTAAGCTCGACACACAATCAGGAATAACTCTCAAACTGCGTGTCCAAAATGGAGCAATTTGCTCTTTTAACCTTTTAGGGGCAGCCTTTATGGGTGGGTGGCTGTGGCTCCCTACCAGCTTCAACATTTGACACCGCGCCTCAGTGGTTGATCGGCGTCGTCGTCCCCCTGGAAACCGACATGCTGTATGGTGCCTAGGAATCAATTAGTAGGCGTTTCCAAGGAGCTTCACTGGGGACGTCACGTACCAAGACTTGCTTCGCATTGCATATTCTCCATGACAACTTCCTCACGTTGCCGTCAGCTAGGACGACAGCTGGGGCAAAGTCGATGCCAAACATCTCCCGAATGGCATACACCACGCGACGCGAGTACTTGCCATCCCTTTCAACGTGGTTGCCGAAGGCCTCGTCAATGCTGCTGGGCGCAATATCCGGGTCACGGTCGAGACAGTTCTGCACCACTGGAAGTAGGGCCTGCTGCACGGCTCGCTCGTACGTCTCATCCGCGCCCGTGTCCGCGGCATCGTCGTCGAATTTGCTGACGCGAATCTCAAAAGGCTCAGAGATGTTCATGACCGTATGCTTGCCGTCATGGTGGTAGCGGAATTCATACACACCCTGGGTCCACCAGAGCTTGTCACCCTCGAAAACGACCTCGCCCTCCACCAGGTCTGTACTCGAACCTTTCTGGGCAGGGATAGGGTGTTCCTCGACAAGAATGCTCTTTTCGGCCGTCATAGAGTCGTAGACGCCTTGACTGGTAGGTGACCAGCGCCCAAGGGATGACACCTCTGTCATTTCCCTGGAGCGATTGTCGGTGACCATGTACAGCCCAATCCAGTCGCCCTTGGCATGGTTCGCGGGTGCCCGCCAGGTCACTTTCAAGGACGTGCCATATTCATAAGCTTGGGTCTTGACCTCCTTGGGGAACCGGCCTGTCACGCTCTCTTTCCCGGTAGCCCGTTCCTTCAGGGCAGCTTCCATAACAGTTGTGCCGGAGACTGACATGCCATAATCCTTGGGGTCGAGTCCAGCCAGATCTTCCGAAAGACGGGTGATGGTCAAGCGAGCGGGCGCAACGTTGAACAGTGCGCTTGTGTCTCGTACGATAGTCTTCATGCCAGAAGTAAACTTTGGTCGAGCTGCCTCGAAGAACTCCTCGACGAAATGAGTCGTGTCATCCAATACTTTGTCCACGCTGTCGGACCAGGTCTTGACGTTAGCAGGCATGGACTTCTTAATGAACTTGGTGAGGCCAGCTTCTTGGCGCAAGGATCGGCCGTAGATCTTCTGCATATGGGGCCGCTCAATGTACGCAATGAAGTACAATGTGAGAAGCTGCGTTGTCAGAGCCATGAGAAAGATGGACCGACTCCAGGTAATGAGAGCGGCGCCCCAAACACCCGCGATGCCAAAGACTCTGTCAGGGTTGTTGACGAAACGGTAGATGGATGTGTATGTGAGCTTGGCCTGGCTGTCGAAAAAAAAGTCGCCGCAGAACCAACCAAACTCGCCTAGAGACTCGTATACACTGAAAGCGGTCCACAGCTGCAATGCAACCAGGCTGAATCCGATGGTGTGCTTCAAGAGAACGCCGCCGTACGTCCAGTCTGCGGGGAAGTTGTACATCTTCCAGCAAGCTGCCATGAAGGACGCATTTGCCATGATCATACTGATGTGATGCATCCCTTTCCATTGACGCCAGGCCTCGGCACTAGACTCTCCGAATTTGAGGAAGTGCCGAGTCCACATCTTGTTCTTGGACTGCTGGTCCAGGATGAGGCCGAGGCCCAAGTGGTACCATACTCGCCAGGAAAGCGCATGGAGCACGAACAATGTCTGCCAGAAGGTCGTCGAAGGCGTAGCAAGGGTCAAAGCAGCTACATATCCCGGCAGCAAGATGACAGCGAGGTCAGTCACGCGGAATAGGTCAATGTTGCTCAAGCCGACCATGTTGTGGACAGGCGCTAAGCTTTCCTTGTCGGGAGATTTTCCGAGTGACTGCTGGTCTGATGGCAGATCTATCACGATCGATGGTTCACTCTGTGTCCTCGGTTCCTCCCTCTTGCGTGGGGCAGGAGGGTTGTACGTCTTTTCAATGTGTGGGTTCTCGACGAGCACAAGGAACGCAAACTGGGACATGTGAGCGACGATGGAGACGAAAAGCACTTCGTAGCTAGCCGCCATCATAGAGATGCCATAGTAACCAGCGTAGCCAATGCTGTACATGGGATGCGGAGCCATTTCAAAGACGCCGTCGAATGTCAGATCTTGGTCGATGAGGTAGAAGAAGTCACCCCAGTACCAGGCAAAGTCTTTCACAACACGGTGCGCATCGAGCTTGACCCACAGATTGAAGAGGACGAGAGCAATGCCCATGGACCAACGACCCAGTCCCATCAAGATGTTCTCGCCCTCGGGACGGTGGCCGCAGATTATTGCAAACAGGCAATAGGAGACAAAGTCGCACATGAGTATCAAGTCGACAACGCGTCGGAAAACGAGCCAGGTGTTGTACTCAATCGGCGCCTCCTCAAACTTGTAGTCCTCGGGGATTTTGGCTTCCAGCTCCCTCTTGAGCAGCTTGTATAGCCATGGCCGTGGGTTGTTGCCAGTTTCCGGGTTTTCGAACAGCCTCCAGTGGCGAGCCCAGGTAATCATCTGTCTACTTCGAGACTGATTCTCGAGCAAGATGCCAATGCCACCATTGTAGGCTGCACGCCAACATGCAAAAAGCACAACAAAGACAGGGCGCTTCCAGGCCTGGGGCAGTAGCCACGCGGCGAGAACATGCAGTGCGAGAACGGCTAGAACGATGATATCTGACAAATTCTTTGGCTGTCGCGGATCAAGTAGTTGTGAAACCATATCATGAGTAGTTGGCACAACGAATACTGCATTGTATGTGAGCCATGGGAGCACATTGTGTCATACATGTTCTCTCAAGCAACTTACTGGTACCGTCTGGGGTTCGTCCATAAGTCTTCTTGGACTTTTCTTCAGTCACCTTGATGGCCGGAGAGTCTTTGGTAGGATCAGTCGCATGTTGCTCATCAGCCGCCGCACGATCCTCCACATTCCCCTCCACACCAACCCCAGGTTCTGCGGAGGTAGACGGGTGAGGAGCTCTTTTCCGAAGCTCGGAAACTTCGGGAGCTTCTTTACTCATGGTGTATGTTTGAGCTCAATGGTCGTTTGTGGGACACTCTGTCGGCTGACTTTGTAAAATCGTGAAAGGCCGGGGAAAATGGTTGAGGTTGCGAGATTTTGGAAAGAAGTGGCAGTGTGGGCCAGGCTCACACGGGACTCGACGGGTACATCCAGCTTGTACTGACGGTCCCAAGGAGATTTAATTAGCGATGGGGTCGTAGCTGCAGGCTGTCGAGGCAAGCTGTCCTCGATGACTTCAGAATGCTCAGTGTGTCGTTCGATCTTCGGGATAGGCCAAGTGTGGGCTGCTGGGCGATTCTTTGGTATTATTTTTGGGCTCGTTTTAAAGAGGCTCAGGTCTTCTCTTTTATGTATGCTTTTCTTTTTCTTCCGTCTAAATCACGCTGTTTATTCGCGGTTCTGTTCAAATGCGCTTCGTGAGGGGACTGGACTTGCTTGTCGGACAGTGTTGCAAGTGGGGGATCCGCAGCGGTTCAATAAGCGGGTAACAGCGCAGCAACAGTGCCAGGGTCGCGAGCAGACCGGTGTTGAGACCACGTCTGACCTGGGCGCGTTGAGCGTGGGATGTGTGCGTTCGGTTACAGTTGCAGCTGCAGGACAACGTCGTGCTAGTGTCCTCGGTTGTTGTTTTGGTGGGAGAGATTGGATGTGAAAGCTGGAATTTGACGTGGTGGTCCCCTCAACGAAAGATGCCAAGCCAGCAACAAACGTCACATGGTGGGGAGGGAAGGTGACCGAATCGCGCCTGGCGCCGTTCCTCTCAACAGCTAAGGCACCTTAAGGTAAGGTACGTACCGGATTTTCACGTGCAAATGCTCCTGTGCTCTAGCGAGCATTCGACACAGAGAGGACATTCATCAACATGTTTGTAGCCGCTTTTCGGTGACTATCTTAAAGCGCCACCCATTTATGTATACGTTCCTTAGTTAATGAAAGTCCCGACTCGAATCGGCGCTTCTGATGGCTGCCACACTTTGCAGGGCTCGGTACGTGGTCGTGCAGCTTCTGAGGGGTTGCCGAACCGGATTTCGTTCATGTCGGTCATTGTGAGTGCTGTGGATTCATCGATGGAAAGTAAATCAGGCTACGTACGGTAATTTCAGTGCCATCTTCACCTTGCCAAGTCTGAGAACATCTCGGATGTCCAACCTATGTCCGATCTAATAATACGTGGCTTGAATGGAACCAACCCCGCCTCACGAACAAGTGATCGAGGAGGTGCCTAATCCAGTGACATCTAGCGCCGAGCATCTCAAGGACCATGGGCGCAAGACGGCTTGATGGCAATGTTAATGTTTTAGACTTTGTGGCTCACTTCTTGCCATTCATAATTATGACCCACACAAATCACATCAACAATCGACCTCAAGTCAAGACTCGGCGTCAAGATCAGCTGCGACAGCAACCTCAATGCTCAATGTTCAATACACAAACGCCATGATATTGATCAGTGATGCATGACCTGATCCACGTCCCTAGCCCAAGTGCCCTACAATGGTCATCCGAGTCCAAAATAAACCAACCCCAATATTGCTTTTACTGAGCAGCTTTCTTGGCGAATTCGACACGAAGAATGAGATGCTTGAAACCAAAGCCGTCCATCTTGGCACAGGCCTTTTCGGCATCGGAGCGGTCCACGAAGCTGATGAATGCGAAACCCTTGGCCAACCCAGTCTCGCGATCCTTGGCGAGGAACACCCTTGTGACGCGACCAAAGCGCTCGAACATATCGCGCAGCTCGCCCTCCTCTGCCATTTCGGAAACCTAGACACCCAGTTAGCCAGTGCTTCCACGAGATACCATGGAAGAAAACTCACGTTGGTGACACGCAGGGTCGCCAGGTCGTCCCTATCACCAAATTTGCCGCCCATCGATTCACCACGTCCCGCAGCAGCAGCACCGCCAGCTCCACGGAGCGCCGGGGGCACATAGGAGCCCTTCTTTGCGCCAGCGGCGCCAGGCCCAGGGCCGGCGGACAGCGCGGGATCCTCGCCGATCGGTGCCGCAGCTGGGTCCGCCGTGCCTCCGACGGGCGCCATGGTGTCCTTGTACGGACAGCGTGCCGTGAAATGCTCTCCGTTACAGATACGGCACTTGACCTTCTTGTCCTTCAGCTTGTCCTTGAGCTGCTCCTGCTCGCCCATCTCCTCCTTGGCGTCCTTGCGCCAGTTGATGCTGGGCCTGAAGATCATGTTTTCGGCGATGGAGGTCGTATCCGGGGCAGGGCCAGCACCGTCCTTCTCTGACTGGCCGAATTTGCTCCATGACTTGCGGTCGGCGACGCGGGGGTTGACGGTCTCTCGTTGGGTGATGTAGCGCACGCGCCGGGTGGTTTTCACTTTCTGGCCATCTTCGTTGATGCGGTAGGAGATGATAGTCTTGGTTCCGTCCTTGTTGGAAATGGTCTGAACGGGCGGCAGCTCAGTGCTGGGCTCCTCGATGCCATCGTCGTCGTCGGCCCAGTCTTGCCTATTGGTGGGGTTAGTCAGGAGGACCGAGGGGGAATACAAGGGCGCAAAGCCCGCAGCGCGAGACGTACTGGGGCTTGTTGCTCACGGCGGCGGCCATGATGATATTCTGAATGTCGTTTATTTTCGTTTGGCGATATCTTCCAGAAGGTTTGAGCTATTGCGAAGGGTGTGCGGGCGTCTGTACGAGCGGTCGTGGGGTTTCTCGATGATGGCTGAATTTCACTTTTTCGTGGTGTGTTTGGATAGTGGCGGGGCTACTACAAGCCACATTGGCTAGGATGTGGCGCATGGAACGACCACGTGACTTTCCGATATCTAACTTCGCGCAGCTTTAACCTCTCACTCCTAACGCGGGCTTACAAGTATTAGCGGCAGTCCCTCACATGATACATCCCTACTCGTGTTACGCCACGGTCGATGCAAAATAGACCTGGGGACACATAGGTCCATCATACTAAGCAAGGAGCTCTTTCTGCCCGTGACGCCTTAGCTATGGAATACGACCACGCTTGCCTCACGGTACTAGCAATGAGGCACGAGGTCTCTCTAACGCGGACTCTATTCTATATTCACCGGCGTGGTGAGACGTCCAGGACCTGGTGACCGCAATGGTTGCGCCAACGACGGCGCGGCCCTCTCTTAGGGCGATTCGGGAGCTCGGGGAAAAGATGTACGCTACGAGACCAGGCACGCTCTTCAGAGTATAAAGGTCCCCATGGAAGCCATTTCAATTGCATACTTGGGTTGACTTCTCAATAAACTCACCGTACGCTGTTCAGACCTACCTCGGAAATTGCGCAGACTCACTCAGTCCGAAGAAGCGTGTCATCTTGATCAGCTTCCACAGTGCACCCTCAAGTTGGCTCCCGATTCCACGTGCCTTGTGCGACTTATTAGACACGATGTCCGACAAGCCAGTCAAACGCGACGAAGCACCGCCGCCCTACAGCGAGCAGGATCAACCTCCGCCCTACAGTGAGTACGGCCAGACGCAGAATTCCATCATTACGGACGCAGGTGGTCTCCCAGATCAGAAACACGAATCACCAGCATGGCAGCCATCAAATGTTCAAAAGCCCGGAGACTACCAAAATGGTCGAGGCGGCACGCCATCAGTGTACAGCCCAGGACTTGGTGGCGGCTCTAACCCGGGACCCTACTCGGCTCGCTATGGTTCATCTGGCTATCGCTCATCCAGCTATAGTGCGCCTCGCTATAGCTCAACTTCTTACGGCTTATCCCCCTTCTACAATCCAGCTCTCATGAACCTCTGGGCTTATACGCAGCCGTCAAGCTACAGAAGAGGCTCTTCTAATTCGAGCCAGAGACTGCAGGATTCTGGATATTTGAGAGTATATCTTGCAGTCCTAGCATGTTCCTTTTTGATAGGCATGCTTTCCTGAGCGACTGCACAATTCTAAAGTCGACGGAGGTGTCACGAGTGGTTGCGCTGCGCACTTCTTAGCTCGGACAATACGAGGCTTGAGGCAACAACCGGCAAGCAAAGTACATCTATGTCGGTCCATGCTGGGCCATGGGTGAAATGCATGTCTTTCGATACCAAGTACCAGTTGGGCACATCGGATACCATGCGATACGGTCTCATGGTGTCGTCGAAGTCACCTACCCTGTGGTACAACACGACGAGAACAACCGCGGTCTGAGTTTGGCTTTAACATGGTCAGAGTGGCTTAATCACATCTGAGAATATTAGTTGAGAATTAAAATGAAAGTCTGTGCGGCGGAGGATGATGCCATTGTTTCATCCTATTCCACTTTCAATACAAAAAAGATGCCCAGTGTATTGAACAAAGATGTTAACGTCCAGGCGACAGAGTTATCCAAAAGTCCTATTCAAAATATTACCTACTCCATACACTGCACAAGATGTCGCAATGTAAAGCAAAGACACCGTAGGTTTGATTACTACATCTCTAATATCTCTTGGTACCAGAGCTGGCGCGGTATTAACTTCGAAAGGCGCTGAAGGCATTCTACAGCACCTTACCTGATCCAGCTGACATCATTTGGTGAGATATAGTACGTGCCTTACAGGTACCTTGCCTCGCATTGGTCTCGTAAATGTGATAGTACGAGCACATGCAGGTACTTTGTTCACATGACGAATTTCAAGTCTTCAAATGAGCTGAACTTTGATGAAAAGAGAATCAGAGCAGGACAAACGAACGGAACGACCCACACACTGTGACAGGGGGTGACGATCTATAGATTAGAGAATGGTTCGAGCATCACACATGGCAAGCCAACCCTGGCTACGCTCACTCATGACAATGCCATCCACTACAACTTAGTTTATGGTAACAAAGCCAAATGAGCGCTGCATCAGCATCTCTAGAGGATCTCACTTCCCAAGACCGGTGGAGTGAGAGAGACTTGTTGAACGGAGCCACATCATCCATCATCGACTCGCGGGTAATAGATCATGGTTGGGATCGAGGGCTGGTTGGGTTGCTTGGCGGATCCGCAGTCAAGCCAACGGCGTGGTCTCGGTCCCCTTATTTTGATTACTGGCTATAATTTTACTCCACGGCGTATTTCGGCAATCCTCGCGGCGACAAACGCACATGACTGAGCGCTTCGCGCGCTCGGCTGGTGATGGACAAAGACACGGTGAAACAAAGTCTTTGCGACGGGCGCCAAAGGTTGCGGACATGAGGGCGTCAACTCGCGTATCAGGGGGTTTTGGGGAAGGAACTAATGGCCAATGACGCCTCTGATGTCACCAGCTGCTTGGAGGCTGGCGCTTTCGACAGTGGATCGGAGGTTGACAAAAAGAAAGCGGCACCATCCTACGTAAAGACGAAGACTACTACGTAGAAAGGCTCATTACGAAGATGGCAAAATAGGCCGCATTAAATGAGTGACAATGCTGCAACAAGGGTGTGTAATTATGCGTCCATATCATTCCTTGTTTGTTTGGGTGATGAAGGTCCCGGCTTTGTGACACCCCGACTTTGTGTGAGCAAACACACGTTCTTGACGTAGTGCAGGGGCACCTTGGCCGTTCACAGTTCACACACAGGCATAATGCGACTTATTGTGTCAACCTGCCGCCAAGGCGGGACCGGCCCCAGAAAGTCGCATGGCAATCGTGACCGCGCTTGCTTGGGTGTCTGGCTTGACCATATTCTCTTTATATACCGACAAGAGGAGGAAGGCCTCCGGCACACACAATCGCTACTCTTCTATTCAGCCTTGGTTCGATATTGATTTGTCCTTCTACACTGTTTTACCACCGAGTATGGCCACGACGGCCGCCTACACAACACTCTCGAACCCTCCCTACAACTGATTCTCAGGCACAATGAAGCCAACCACGCTTCACCACCTCCTGTCGCGGAGTGTAGAAAGCTTTTCGCGACGGCAGAACAACCCGGAAGGCTCAGCAGGCTCCGCGCAACAGGACCAGGGCATTGGCATCGTCAGTTTTCTGACTGCGTTCATCGTTGCGTCGATCATTTTTGCCGTCCAAAGTGGTTTCTTCCTGCTCCTTCGAAATAAGCTCGCCCGCATCTTGTTAGTCCTCCTCGCAGCACCGTGGTATGCCCGTGGTGGTCGCAAAACGCTAATTGCACGACAGCAAACCGAAAACCTACCTCGTCCCCGAGCGCGAGCGAACGCCTTCCCCCCCGTCGAGTTTCTTCCCACTGGTGAAAACGCTCTTCTCGTTTCCCGATCGCAATGTCCTCCACAAATGCGGCCTCGATGCCTACTTCTTCCTTCGCTACTTGCGCACTCTCTTGGTCATCTTCATTCCTATCGCTTGCGTGGTCATGCCCGTGCTGATTCCGCTCAATTATGTGGACGGCAGAGGCAAGAATATTAACGTTAATGAAAACTCCTCGAAGCGAACTTCGAACGAGACCGTCACCGGTCTCGATACGTTGGCTTGGGGCAATGTCAAGCCCGAGAACTCGAGCCGCTACGCTGCGCACCTAGTCATGGCCATACTGGTTGTCATCTGGATCTGCACCGTCTTCTTCTTTGAGCTCAAAGTGTACGTCAAGGTGCGACAGGATTATTTGACAAGCGCCGAGCATCGTCTCCGTGCTTCTGCCACGACGGTCCTCGTGAGCGAGATACCTGGCAAGTGGCTCACCGAGGAGGCTCTTCGCGGTCTCTTTGATGTTTTCCCCGGAGGCGTTCGCAATATCTGGCTCAATCGCGACCTGTCAGAGCTTCTCGACAAAATTGCCCTCCGCGACAAGTATCACTCGACCCTGGAGCAGGCCGAGACTGCTTTGATCAAAGCAGCCAAAAAGGCTCAGCGGAAACAGGAAAAGTCACAGAGAAAGAAGACGGCTCATATGAATAAGAAGGAGAGAGCCGCAGATGACGCCAAAAGGGATGCCAAAGCCGTGCAGATGGCGAATAGCGATGGGGGTATCAATGCTGGCGACACGCATGAGGTCCCTCACATTGACATCGACCCCGCGCAGGACACCCAGCAGGCAGAGCTTGGGCACGACAACCAGGGTTCCAAGGGGTTTAAGAAGCCCCTTCTCGGGGACCCGCTCGCAAAGGTTGGCCTCGGTATCAAAGGCGTTGTCAACAAGGCGGAGCACGGCGTGAAGGGGGCAGGCCAAGATGTCGAGAACACGCTGGAGACGACCAATGGCTTTGTTGGTCTGACTGCCACACAGGGGCCCGATCAGGATGCGGCGCATCGGCGGGTCCGCGTGCCTGGCCAGGGCGAGGCTGCGCCTATGTCGTCCCCATCTACTGTCAAGACTAACGGACACCACTCGCCGGCGAATTCCGAAAGCTCCTTGAAGCCGAAAACCCAGAAGGCCTTCCAGGGGCCAGCTGGAAATACGGTCCGCCAACTTGACAACATTGAGGACCAATTTGTCAAAGAGGAGACGAAGTTTTGGCAATTCTGGAAGCCTCCAACTGGCGGGTACGCGTCACCTGTTCCTCAAGGCCAAGAGGCAGCCGACTACATGGCCAAGGAGGCAGCCGATAACAGGACAGCTTGGGAGAAGTTCAAAGAAACTGTTCCGTTTCTGATGTCTCAGGAGCTGACGCCTGTTGAGTACAAGGAAGCGTACAACCCCGACCATCAGGAGCAGGACGAGACCGGCGCTGTATGGGAAAAGTACCTTAAAGCTAAGGATCGACCAACCCATCGTCTACCTCTTTTCGGGAACAATGCTCTGTTTGGACTGCCGTTCATCACAAAGAAAGTGGACACGATTCACTACTGCCGACAAGAGCTTGCCCGCCTCAACGTTGAGATTGACGAGGACCAGAAGCACGTCGAGCGCTATCCTCTGATGAACTCCGCCTTTATTCAGTTCGAGCAGCAGGTAGCAGCTCACATGGCCTGCCAGAGTACGATGCACCATCTTCCGAAGCACATGTCGCCTCGCGTAGTGGAGATCTCGCCTCGCGATGTTATTTGGGAAAACATGGCCATGTCATGGTGGCAGGCGTGGGTTCGCTCCTTTGGCGTCGTCAGTCTCATCGTTGCTATGGTCATTCTTTGGGCTATTCCCGTTGCGTTCACCGCTACCCTTGGCCAGCTAGATGAGCTCATTGCCAAGAACGAATGGCTGTCCTGGCTGGACGCTAATGACACGGTCAGAACGGTCGCCGAAGCTGTTGCTGGTGTCTTGCCTGCTGCACTGCTCGCCATCATGCTCATCCTTGTGCCGATCATCTTCGGCTTCTTTGGACAGTTCAGGGGTGCCAAGACCGGCGCGCAAAAGGCCGAATTTGTGCAGATCTTCTACTTCTTCTTCCTATTCGTTCAAGTCTTCCTCATTGTCTCGGTGGCGTCCTTCTTTGCCGCTAGCATTGACAAGCTGGTTAAGAGCTTCGAAGAGCTGAGCAGTGTTTCGGCTGTGCTTAACTTGCTGGCGATCAACCTCCCCAAAGCTGCTAACTATTTCTTCTCTTACATGATTCTGCAGGCGCTATCGACCAGTTCCGGTACATTGCTGCAGATTGGCACGCTGTTTGTCTGGTTCATCTTGGCCCGCATCATGGACAGCACGGCCCGCGCCAAATGGCGCAGGAACACGACGCTGAATACGGTGGACTGGGGCAAGTTCTTCCCCGTTTATACCAACTTTGCCTGCATTGGCATCATCTACAGCATCATCGCCCCTCTGATCTCCATCTTCGCCATCATTACCTTCAGTCTTCTCTGGCTTGCCCACAGATACAGTATGCTGTATGTTACTCGCTTCGAGCACGACACAGGCGGTGTTCTGTACCCCCGCGCGATCAACCAGACATTCACCGGTATCTACTTCATGGAGGTATGCGTTGCCGGTCTATTCTTCATAGTGGAGGACCCAAACGGCAAGAATGTTTGCACACCGCATGGCATCGTCATGCTAGTCGTGGTGGCCTTTACCGTGCTGTACCAGATCCTACTCAATCGCTCATTCTCACCGCTCTTCCGTTATCTGCCGATCACGTTTGAGGACGAGGCGGTTCTGCGAGACGAAGCTTTCCAGCGTGCACAGAACAAGCGCCTCGGACTGGAGGAGTACGACGAGGAAAAGGATGGCGAGGCTCCCGGCAGCCCCCATAGCGTGGGTACGCCCAAGGGACGCACGCCAAGACTGGGTAGCCGGGAGGAGGAGGAGATTGAGATGGAGGAGCTCCGTGAGCGAAGGCGGTCGCGCGCGAGCGGCAAGGGCATGCGCAACCCGGTCAAACATGTTGGCGCCTTTGCAAAGGCTGGCGGCGACCAGTTCCGCAAGGTCACCCGCACCGACCAAGGCGCGGCCCAATATCGAAAGAAGCAGCACGCCAAGGACCTCGAAGCGCAGCGTGCGATCGGTGACGCGCTGTATGGCGGGATGAACGACGACATTGAAGATCTGACGCCCGACGAGCGAGATCTCCTCGTCCGCCACGCATTCAAGCACTCTGCGCTGCGAGCTCGTCGTCCTGTAGTCTGGATCCCACGGGACGATCTGGGTATCAGTGACGACGAGATTCGTCGGACGCAGGCATACAGTGAGAACATCTGGATCAGTAACGAGGGTACTGCGCTTGACAGTAAGACGCGTGTCGTCTATGGAAAAAATCCTCCCGACTTTTCTGAAGTGGATGTGATCAATCTGTAAAGATTGTGCAGACCGGCCTGTCTGATTGTTATTGTTTGGTTATAAGCGTTTTCCCCCTTTTCTGTTATCGCATTTCTTGTCAGGGTGGCATTGGTTTTGAAGCATTGCGACACGAGAGAATACCCTTATACACGTCGTTAGATCTCGATTAGTGAACACAATTAGAACAATTACTAGATTGATTTTCTCGAGCCACTATGGTGTCTTTGTGAATGTTGTCGTGCTGAAATTGTCGAGAGATCTATCATGTATAAATGCATTGATGTGCCGCTACTCAAAATATCAACCCATCCTGTCCTGAACGCCAGCTATGCGAATGACACAGGCAATCCTTTATTGATGACTCCTTCTCTTCTCATCGTCCTGCCTTGTCGATGCAAGTTCCTTCATCATCACTTCGTTGAAGTAATCCGGATTTTCCAGGTAGAGATGATGCCCTGCTTTGGGGATCATGACCACCCTGACACTCCCATTCTCGGCCTTCTTCTCCTCCTCGGTGGCATTGGCCAGGATCTTGGCCTGTGTCTGTTTGAGTTTCTCCTCAGCGGCGAGACCGCCCGCCACATCCATCCAGTCTTGCTCGCCATACATGAAGACAATGGGGAACCCAGTCTCCTTCTTGTCCGAGTTGGGCAGTTTCTGGCGGCCGACATGCTGGATACGATCGATAACAGGGCGGCGAGCGTAGGCGCCTGGTGCAAGAATGTACGACAGAGCGTACTCGCCGCTTCCTTTCTGCTTGAAGATGGAGAAGGTGTAGTCGTGAAGAGCCTCGGCCTCGGGGGTCGGGAGGTGCTTGAAGCGACGAGAGGTCCATCCTGAGATGAATCGGGGACCTAGAGGACCGGCCATACGGATCAAACTGAATGGAGAGACGTTTGCGTCCCAGAGCCAGACAGCCCAACTCGGCAGAGGTCGTTTCGGCGTGTTGGCGCCTGACGCATTTTTGGTTTGTGTCCCGTCTTTGGGTGGTGGCGAAACAGCCTCTTCTTCTTGAATGAATTCCTCAGCAACCGATTGATCGTCAGGATCAGGCATTGAGGCGTTGACTGCATAAGGGTCCTTGGGGACGCCGACCGGGGATGCGAGGATGAGCTTCTTCAGATGACCGGGGTACTTGAGCGCGTACGAGACGGCGAGATAGCCGCCCAACGAGTGGCCCAGCAAGGTGAAACGCTCAATCTTGCGGGACTGTCGCCACTCTTCGAGGGCGTCGATGAAGAAGTTCTCTGCCTCGATGACCTGCTCCTCCTTGGTCTTGGCGTGAATCTTGAACGGCGGCCGTGTCGAGTTGCCCATGCCCAGCATGTCGAGGGCATACAGCTTCATCCCTGGCTGCCGCGAGAGCGCCTCAAAGTTCTTGTAGAAGAAGCCTAGGCCCGCGCCGTACCCGTGGACCATGACGAGAGTGTCCTCCGCCTCCTCGCCCACTCGCTCGATGGAGACTTCGTTCAGGGCGCGGTTCTTCCCCGGCAGCTGGACGAGTTCGCGGCGCCACACGCGGGTGCCAGGTGGGTAGTCCTTGTCGTCCGCCGAAGGGTCCTTGAGGGTGTCGACCGCCTCTTTGAGGTGAGGCATGAATGACAGGACATTACGCTCAGCGATTGGTGGTGTGACGCTCGTCCACTGTGGGTTGGTTCTGTCAGCCTGGGACACTTGTGACGACGGGAGACTCTCGTCTTCCAACTTACCCATTGATAGAGAGCGTCTTTGTAGCCTAGAGGAAAGAAATTGGACGTCGGCCTCTTCTCCTGGTTCTGCTGCTTGTACTCCTCAGGCGGAGCACCCGCGCTGCCGCTCGTTGTCATTTTGGCGAACTGGTGTTGTTGATGATGATGTAGGATCGGAGTTGGGGCTCGTGTGGCGGGGTGACGCGAAGAAGACGCAATTCTGGCGCTGGATCTCAAAGCAGCTCTGGCAAAAGGGGACTTGGGCATGTCGGAGGCGGCAAACGAGCAGAAGTGGCGACACGCCAGCTTTATGGACAAAGTCCGCAAGTGCTCAGCCCTACCAATACCCTTGACTCGCAATTTGTCGGCGATGCGGTCTTGATGACGGGCACGAGTGGAATTCGGGTTTAAGGGCGGAATTTGGGGATTGGCGCGCCCGAGTCCGTCCGTGCCTTACAAACCCAAAGATACGAGGTATGCGAATGCGAATGGAAGGCTGGATATGATGATGCGTACAAGGCAGCAGAAGCAGGACGTGGTCTCTTTTTGTAATCCTAAAGAACACCTTTGAAAGAGGGGTCGAGGGGCCTTTTGAGGTTCCCATGATGCCCTCACGTTGCCCACTTAGAACTATATCAAGGCGTCAAAGTACCGACTAGTAGCGATATGGCACGCAGGACTGGACCCTGAGGAGCGCGTGGACAGTCAACGTGCGGCCTGAATCAGGCACCGTTGGCTGCCTGGAGTGTCCGTTTTGGGTGCCCCTGTGGCGCACTGGTGCGTAAATGCCGCTGCGGAGCGGTGGAGATAGGCTGTGGCTGATCTATTTGTACCTACCTACCTACCCTACAGCCAAAGGTCTCGGCTGGAATCACGCCCGTGAGATGACGTTTGCTAAGGTAACCATCGTCACAAGCCTCATCACAAACCGACAAGACTCGACGCGCTCAGGGCGCACGCCGCGACAACGCCACAGCCCACCGCTCACCGTGGCCGCCACTCTTTTCCTGATTCACCAGCGCATGGCAATTACAAACCACAGGCTCTCGTAGCCACCTGTGCTGTACGATGCCGTCCGACCTCGACTCGATCGTCAAGGGCGCCGCCCCCCAACCCGCCACTGCCGAAGCTGCCAAATCCGCGTCTGGCACCACGCCCATCCAGCATGCTAATCCCTCCCACGTCGATCCCCTGAAACCCTCGAGCGACCCGACGAATAATGCGCCCAACTCTCCGTCCATGGTCTACCTGAACCTCCTGATCCTCGAAGCGTCCCTCCGCGCCCAATTCCTCGAGCTCCGCGCCCGCCGGAGGCACCACACCTTCTTCTTCGCCCTCCTCGGCGTGTGGATTGTCTTCTTCACATACAAGCTCTTCTTTGCACCTCGGGAAGATGGGCAGGGTGTGGGCGGATCCATCTACTGGGCATTGGAGGGCGTCCAAAAGGTCTGCTTCATGGGTGGTATCTGCACGGCCATCCTCGTCTGGTCAGTTGGTATCTGGGAGCGCGGTATCCGCTGGCCTCGGCGGTGGTTCGCCATCTCGAACCGCGGCCTGCGTGGGTTCAACTGCAAGCTCGTCCTCATCCGCAGCTCCTGGTACGCCGAGGCCCTCTCAACCGTGGGGTTTTTCTTGACGTATGGACTCTTTTCCCACACCGCTAGCTCCTCTTATCGACACGTGGAACCTGGGATCTTGCGGGAGGTGGAGCGTGAGCTGTCCCTGACAACGGACGCCCATCCTACGCTTGTGCTGCCGCAGGACGACGAAGAAAAGGGCGGACATCAGGAGGACCTGGCCCCGGGAGGAGACTACGTGAAGCTTCTCTTGCTAGCCAAGCCATTCTCGTCCAACTTTCGAGAAAACTGGGAGCTTTACCGAACAGAATACTGGGAGAGAGAGAACGAGCGGAGGGCTCTGCTGCGCAAGAAGGTGCGGGAGCACGACCGTAAACTGGCCAAGCAGCAATTTGGCTGGCTCTGGTGGCTGCCGTTTCGTCGCGTACGCTCCGCGCACCACACGCATCATGCCGAGCATCACGAGCCGAAGCCGCATCTCCATCGCCATCCGGCCGTCGAGCGGGAGCGGAAACGTCGCAGTAGTTCTGTGCGCCGCGGCTCGACGAGCTCTTCGCGACCGCAGACGCCCGCCCTCGAGTCCGTCGAGGAGCCCTCCGTGTCTCGCCGACCGAGCTCGGCGAGTGAGAAGAGGAGGAAGGCAAGGACATCCGTCTCGTCCCCTGGCACTGGAGGTATCGCGGCAGCCAAAGGCGGCAAGAGATCGGGCACTGAGTCGAGGAGCGTGACGCCCGAGGTGACGTCTCCTCTGGCGAGGGAGAGCAGTGCTTCCGGGACAGAGGGGCGGGTGTTGAGGAGCAACAAAGATGCGAAGAAGTCGGTGGAGTAGTTGGTTGATACGGTCCGCAAATAGATCCATGTGTATACAAAGGTGCAAGTCATCGGGCTCGGTCGTTTTGCACATATGAATTGACGTGAAGACAATAAAATACGGATGTGAGAGCTCACTCGGCCTGATTCACACTCACCCCGCAAATTGGATCTCCTTGTTGAACTGCCCCTTTTCCGTGGACCAGCGGCCCTAAGAGTTGACTCGGCGCAGTGGCAGACGTTGGGCAAACATCAGAAACTGGCTCAAGCAATGTGATGAGTACGTACTCAAGTAGCCGTTGAATATTCGTAGGTATCTTTGCTATGTCTTCGTCACAATGTACCATATGTCTGGTTCATACTTCTTCTCCATCCCCGAGGAACCAGCCCTTCTCCAACAAATCTATATACAAAAAGTCGTCGGTCTTCCCATGTGTAAACGCCGTTCGGAAAACAAAAAAAGAGGTATAGAAAATACCCAAGTGGAAAAAAAATAGAAGAGGCGCTTTTCCTTCAAGCATTCATCTTCCCGTGCTCCCAAATCAGTACAATGACGGAATCTCGTTGATCGCTTTCCGGATCCCTCTTATCTGCTCTCTTCACGTAGGCCTGCCACACGGCACGATCCTTACTCAAGGCCGAGTCTACGAGACGCCACATGTTCTTCCTCCCCGTCCAACTGAGGGAGGCTTTGTCGATGCCTTCGAGCTCGTCATCAATGATTACCCGCTGCGGGATTGCAACCGCACCAGACTCTGCTGGTGTTGGTGCGTCCTCGGTAGGTGTGTCGAGAGATGGCTCCTCGTCACGTTTACCAGGCGATGCCGCTGGAGCATCGGGCGAGCCTGGCGGCAGCGGACGGCTCACTTTGACACCATCAGGATAGTGCGAAATCGAAATACCGTTGACAAGGACCCATTTGTCGTCGAACAAGTACCTCTGCATAAAACACGACTCGCCACACACATTAGTGACCAGATGCGCCTTGTTGATGTTGAGAAGATGTCGCTGGGCGTAGCGACGCAGGAGGAGCGGCTTCTGGCCCGTCTCATAGCTGTCCAGCTGCCGGTCGTATGTGTCGTCCTTGGGGTTGTAGAATCCGGGCAGAACATGCATGTCGATCTCAGAATGGAGCATGAGGCAATCATGTAGCAGTTGGTCCCATCGCTTCGCCCTGAAAGCCGGCCCGCTGGCGCGTGATTCGAAGCAGGGCAGGGTGGGCACCACGGAGATGGATTGCCTCGTCAGGAGCACGGCGCCACCTCCGTACGTCCTGAGCCCTTGGTCGTCGTCGCTTGCCTCCCAGTCTAGTCGCTCGCTGGGTAGACCAATGTAATGCTGCCCATCAGTGTTGTATGAGAAAAGTCGGTCCCGGAGGTGCGACAAGCTCGGGAAGAACACATCGTCCTCCACCAGTCCGAACCACCTCTTGTCCTGGCCATTGGCCGCCAAGTTTGCCGCGAATGTCTTAAGAATGCGTGAAAGCTCAAAGTATCGCCTAGCCATGCTCATGGGTTCCTCTGTCGTCGTGACCCAGGCATCGATGCCCGTGGCCTGCAGCGTCATGTCAATCTCCTCCAACTCATCGTTGCGCGCCTGGTTCAGGACAACCACCAGACTCGCGCCGTTGCTGTGGTGGTGACCATCGGTGAGCCAGCGGGACCAGGCCTTGATCATGGCAAAGTCGCGATCCTTGATGCGCGCATACGTCGTCGAAATGCCGAATAAAAAATCAGACGCGTCTACGCGACCCAGCAAGGGACTCGCGGGCACGGGCAGCTCCATGCGCTTTTTGGCGTACAAGTCTAGGCGGTCGGGCGCGCTAGTGTCGACGAGTTTTGGCTGCACGGCTTCAAATTTGAGATTAACCTCTGTGACGGAGGGCCAGTCCTCTGACTGCTCGCTTGGAACAATGCGCCATGCGCGCCACGAGAGCTCACTCGTGAGGCCGAGATCCTTGCTCAATCGCTGCAAGTAGAGCTCCTCGGGCGATGTGCTGCCCTCTGGTAGTATCTCTGCATCGCGTAGCAGGGCACTGGGGGGTTTTGGTCGGCTGACGATTCGGAGTGTGTGGAGGAAGAGCACAATGATGACCAGCGTGAGGACAATGTGCGAGCTGCGGCCCTGCAGCGAGATTGGACCCTTGATGAAGGGCATGGCAGGCAGCGCAATGCCCGACGTCGGGCGGGCGAGGGCTCACAGTGAGGTCGTGAGATGAAAAGAGTCAAGACGGATACAAGGTGTCGTGCGCGCTCTGGCGGCGCCTTACTCCATGCTGCAATCAGTGGGCTGGAGAGAGAGCGCGACGTGTCTGTCTCCTTGCGACTGGCGCTGAGGAAAATGGCGAAACAGGCGGTCGACGCGATTGGCGGCTAGATAATCAGACAGTGCGATTGAGAAGGAGCGACAAAGGGTGAGATACGAGTGGTCGGACGCGAAAAGGAATGAGTTGAGTGTGAAGTGGTTGTGAGGCACAATGACGCCGGAGTGAACATGGGAATCAATTCATCAATCACATCATCGATCATCAACCAGAAGGGGACTGGATGGATCCCTCTTCCATGGCGATTCGGATACAGCTGCTGCCGCCGCCGCTGATCCTGTGTCAAAACGAGCAGCCCCAGGCAATTAGGGCCTGCCGAGGTGAAACCGTCAGTGATTCTGAGGTGGGACGCGGGCGTTCGATACAGAATTGGCTCTGGCCTACTCCGTACAGCAGCCCCCTAATTAAACCAACCTTGGGCCCTCGAGCCTTGCGTTGAATCTCGCTCACTGCGCAGGCTGCTCTGCGTATCTCTTCTGCCATCCCCTCCCCCTCAGCTCACCCCTGACTGCTTCTGGACAGAAGTCACAGGCGCAAGTGGGCTTCCCACTTTGCCCAGCCTTGCTAGTCAGGAACGGACTTGGCTGCGCTGCGGCGATCCTTGTTAGAAACGATGATACCCGACGATCTATCCGTGTCCCAGACTCCCAGACTCCCAGATGGCTTCTCTAGCGCGAGGGGTTCCGCGATGTGGGAGGCCAACTGAGTTCCATGCGGTTGATGATACGAACATTCTTTTACCATTTCGTAGCTCATAAGGCTAGGTGAAGTTTGAACCGCGAGATGCTCCATCGGGCGCGCATCTTTTCTGCAGGAGATTACACGACACCCAAGGCTAGCTGATTTATTAGCCATCATAGGGCACTGATTGTGTAATTCCTTGGCCAGACTAAGCAAAGACAGCTCATTCATTAATCCGTCTTGGCAGCCCTCATACTCCGTATCCGTACATAACGGCCATGAGGTGCCGGAGCAAATCTCACTCAGGCTCAGCTGCACGGAGTCGTCACTGGCCTTGATGTGCTTGGCATCATCCAGGCTGGCTGACTAGCGGCGCCCTCGAAAGCCTCGCCATTGTTTCGAAAGATATCGCCCGAAAAGGCTCAGGCTTGTGCGCGCGCCCTGGCTCTCTTTGTCACCGCGAGCGCATCGTCTGCAGTACGGAGGGCTAGGTACGGATTTGGATGAGCCTTTCGATGGTTTCGTGCCACATCTGCGCCTCACCAATAGATCACATCCCTTTTACATCTTTTTCAGGGTCTAGATCCCCTGGAATAATTTGTCTAGTAGCCCAAATCGCGCGCTACTAGCAGCGGGGCCCAGGACTTCGCTTGCGATAAGCACGGATTGTGCTTTTGCGAAGTCACTCTCGACATGCCATACAAGCGGCTCATTGATGACAAGGCTAGGAATGAATTTGTAACAGATATTGACCTACAGTTATTGACTTGGGACTCAATCCCGAGCTTGGCATTGACGATTGCTGAAACAAGGAACACGAGTGCCAATGCTCGTTGTTTCCAGTGGTTCAGCTGCTGATAAATTGAAAAAAAGGGCTTATTAATCGCAATGTGGGGTCGTGGCGCAGCGGTTAGCGCGTGGGATTGCAGATCCTAAGGTCACTGGTTCAAATCCGGTCGATCCCTCACTTTTTGCTTTTTCTACCCAGTCGACCGACCGCCCTGGCGGTACGCGTGACAGAATTTCCTAAATTTTTGGCGTCGACTTTGCTCTGGCCGCCGCGAGCTCCCTCCACGCTGGGCTGATGCGCGCGTGTTCCACATGAACCTTACACGTTCAATTCGTAGACTCACGGTCCGCGAAACGTGCAAAACCCTGCACGTACCTCTATCTCGGGCGCACTATTCTTCTGTGCACCTGGCGCACTCCAGCAGGCAGCCCTGCTTGCGCCTGTCGCAACCCTCTCGACTTCGACCCTCACACCCCACCTTGATAACACGGACCATGGCGACCGAAGCGAACGGCCAAGCGCCGCAGACCATCCAAGAGGGCAAGGCCAAGATCATTGTCCCCGAGGCAGCATCGACGCCGGCGGGGAAGAAGGAACAGGGCGATGTGCAGCAGGTCTTCTACAACCCGATCCAGCAGTTCAACCGCGATCTGTCTGTTCTGGCGATCAAGACCTACGGCGAGGAGATTGTGGAAAAGCGGAGGGCACAGCAGGCCAACAAGCGATCCAAGAAGCGCAAGCGCGCAAAGACCGACGACGCCAGTAAGGACGACGACGCCCACCCTGAAGTAGTCGACGAGCGCCAACCTGCGCCCGAGCCCGAAACCGCGCCTGAGACTGTCGAACCGGCCTCTACCGTCGCTCCCGACTTCAAGATACTCGATGCCCTCTCAGCGTCTGGTCTACGAGCGCTGCGCTATGCGCACGAGATACCATTCGTGACCGAAGTCACGGCCAACGACCTGTCCTCGTCCGCGGCCAGAAGTATCGAAGCCAATATTGCGTACAATGGGTTGCAAGACAAGATCAAGGTCACCAACGACGACGCACTGGCTCTTATGTATCGCTCTATAGCCGACAGTCTGTCCCTGGCCGCCAGGAAGCACCCTGGCAGAGCGTCTCCGGACTCGATCCGGTGGGACGTGGTCGACCTGGACCCGTACGGCACGGCGGCGCCATTCTTCGACGCGGCTGTGCAATCTGTGCGTAGCGATGGTGGTCTCCTATGCGTCACATGCACCGACAGTGCCGTCTGGGCTGGCCACAGCTACCCCGAGAAGACATACTCCCTGTACGGAGGAACGCCCGTCAAGGCGCCCTATTCGCATGAGTACGGCCTTCGCTTGATCCTGAACTCGATTGCGACGGCAGCCGGCCGGTACGGTCTCTCCATCGAGCCTCAGCTATCCCTGTCGATCGACTTTTACACCAAGGTCTTTGTCAAGGTCACCAAGTCGCCCTCAGCGGTCAAGTTCCTGGGAGGAAAGACGATGATGCTCTACACCTGCGATCAGGGGTGTGGCAGTTTCCAAACACAGTACCTGGTGAAGAACAAGGTCGCCGAGAACAAGAAGGGCTCGGGTCACTTCTACAAGCACACATTGAAGCAGGGGCCCACGACAGACGAGCACTGCGCACACTGCGACACCAAGACACACATCAACGGACCCATATGGGGCGGGCCGCTCCATTCACCAGAGTTCGTCAAGAGACTGCTCGCGAAACTGCCAGAGGCCGACAAGGCAGTGTACGGGACGATCCCGCGTTTGGAGGGCATGCTGCAAACAGCTCTGGAGGAGGATCTGCCCTTCCCCGAAGGCTCCTTTCCACCCGTAAACCCCCGCGACGACGCGCATGCCGCCATTGAGCGGTATCCCTTCTACGTGGACCCGCACAAGATCGCCAGCGTGCTGTGTGCCGTGGGCCCGTCGACGGACATGTTTCGCGGCGCCCTGACGCACCTCGGCTACCGTCACACGCGCAGCCACTGTCGCGCGGGCAGTGTCAAGACGGACGCGCCGTGGTCGACGATATGGTGGGTGATTCTCGAGTGGATTCGGCAAAAGGCACCCATCACGCCCAAGAATGTGCGGCCGCGGACGGCCGGATTCAGGATACTGGAAAAGGCCGGAATCCTGAAGCTCAACGAGGCCGGTGAGGTGGTGGCCGCCGGGCCAGGGGCGCTGGTCAAAGGCGAGGAAGATGTGCAGATGGAGGACAGCAAGCTGGTAGAGGCTGCGACCAGTGGTCAGGACGACGCTGCCGTGGCGTCTGCCGCTGATGACAAGACGGAGGTTGAGCAGGAGGGCGCATCTGCAGCCGAAGACAAGGACGACAAGGCGGCAGCTGCGTTCAAGGAGGTCGAGCTACGCAAGACGCTCGTGTTCAACGAGGATCTGGCTGCGCTGGGCCGTCGTAACCAGGGGCAGAAGAAACTGGTGCGATATCAGACAAATCCACGCGAGAACTGGGGACCGATGGTCAAGGCGAAGAGGCAGTGATTTCGGGCAGCGGGAGAGGGCATGCATGCATGGTAGGAGTTTTGGGTAGATTCTGTGTAGCGTATCTACGGTCATGATTGTTTGTTCATTTGTGCGAGCCCAGAGGCGTTGGAAGCAATCATTACTAAAAGTCCGATTGACAATCTGGATGACTCCTTGCTCTGCGGGGACGACAATCTGACTGCATCAGCAAGCGCCATAATCTCACCCTCTTGTCACCAATCTTGTCATTTTCGTAAGCTACATACAACTGTGATTGTGAGATAATCGTTCAATTTACGTCGAAGGAATCATGCCGGCGGCAGCGGCGAAAAGCCAACCTCGTCCGCTCGAGCTCACCATCAGTAAGCTTTCGATAGACATTGCCAGCGGCGAGCTTGCTCTGGGAGAAGCAGCTGGAGACTTGGACAGCGCCATTAAAAGCAGACATATTCTCTTCTCGCTGCGACGGAATGGCGCCAACGAGTCCTTCATCACAGCCGTCCTCAAAGAAGCAGTGGCACCTGATGACAGTGAGCCCTTCCAGCTCGTCCTCATCCACAGCGACGCCATCTCCGACGAGCTATCCGACGCATATCTGATCGACAAAGTCCCGCCGTACCTCGTCCACGACGCCTCGAACCAAGTCGACGTTGTCGTATCCACAAAGTCGGGGACAAACCTCGCTCTGCCCTTCTGGTCGACCGTCCTCCAACCTCTCATGTCCACCGTGGCAAGGACATTCCCCGAGTCAAAGGTCGACCAGGCCAACATCCTTGTCACAGAATCTGCCGAGAGCGTGTCCAACTTTGCACGCCAACGCTGGTCATCACAGGCCTCTCCAGCCCGGACAATCATCCTCCTCAGCGGCGATGGCGGCGTGGTGGACATGCTGAACGGACGACAAGAGGGCAGCCAGCAGAGACCGACCATCGCGATCTTACCCATGGGCACGGGGAATGCGCTCTTCCACACAAACCACAAGCCTCTCTACACACCCTCTAGCCCCTCCCCTCTCGTCCTGGGCATCCGCACCTTGTTCGTCGTGGGCGTTGCTGCCGCCCTGCCCATCTTCCGCGCCTCCTTCACGCCTGGCGCGCACATTGTCCACGGCGACGAACTACAGAGACAAGTCAGCCACCTCGACGGCGCCATCGTCGCGAGCTACGGCTTTCACGCCAGTGTCGTGTACGAGAGCGACACGCCCGCGTACCGCGTCCACGGCGACAAGCGATTCGGCATGGTGGCGCAGGAACTATTGCGCGAGGCGCATGCGTACTCGGCCCACGTCGAGATTCAGCGCACGGGGACGTCCCTCGAGGCGCTCGACAGGGAGAAGCACGGCTATCTCCTCACGACGTTGCTATCAAACCTGGAGAGGACGTTTACCATCTCGCCAGCCAGCAAACCTCTGGATGGGCAGCTCCGGACCCTGCATTTCGGGGATATCGGTGGCGAGAGAGCTTTGGACGCCATGATGAAAGCCTACGACGGCGGCAAGCATGTGGACGTCAAGTGGGACGATGGTGAGAGGATCTACTACCAGGATATAGACGAAATCAGAATCACGGTCAAGGAGACGGATCAGCGGTGGCGCAAGGTCTGCATCGACGGGACGATTGTCGACGTACCAACAGGAGGCACAATGACGGTCAAGAAACTGGACGAGAGCCCGTTGCGTATCTTGGTGAACAAGGGGGTGCGATAGACTAGACTAGTCGGCGAGGAGCTTGCTCACCCGCTTCTCCACGATGCTCTCAAACTCATCGACTCCGTTCTCCAACAGGCTCATTTTACCCCCCTTGAGTCGGTATACGGCTCTCCGCCTGGCCAGTTCCTCATCGTCGTCGTCATCGCTGTCCTCCATGCCCTCACCTTCATCGTCCATGGTGCCCTCAATGGCACCGCGCATGAACCATCGGTCGTGGCTGACGAGAACGACGGCCCCCTCCCACTCGTGGATCGCCTCCCGCAGGGCCGTGACCGTCTCATAGTCGAGATGTGTCGTGACCTCGTCCAGTACCAGCACGTGAGGCCTCTTCCAGAATAATCGTGCCAGCTCACACCGAACGAGCTGTCCACCACTGAGCTTCGTCAAGGGCACGTCCGATGCAATGCGTCCCCCCAGACCAAGCTCGCCCAGCAACGCCCTGGTCGAACCCTCGTCCAGCGCACCATCAATCTCTTTTGTGAGTAACGATAACGCAGTGAGCGTCGGGTCCGCACGGCCGAGGGCCTGGAGATCCTCCACGGCGTGTTGACTGTAATAGCCCATTTTCAGCCTCGGATGTGTCGTCACAGACCCAACGGTCGGTTTCGCTTCGTCCACCAATAGCTTGATCAGCGTCGACTTACCGGCGCCGTTGAGCCCGAGGATCCCGATCCTGTCGCCCATGCCAATCGCCAGCGTGATGTCCTGGATCGTCAGGGGCGCCCCACGCTTGTAGCGATACCCTGCCTTCTCGAGGGAGATGAGACTTCCCGGGAACCGCAGCTCCTGGGGCTCCGGCAGACGCATGGTCACACCGCGCGCCTCGGGTGGGATTTCGATTTCAGCGCGCGCGGACAGCTGGTAGCCCACGTGGTCGCGGTTCAGCTTGAAGCGACCGCCCCGGGCGGACACCTGCAGACCCATGCGGTCGTCGAGCTTCTTCTGTCGGGACTTGGCCTGGCGCAGCTTATTCTGGTCATTGTTCTCCTTGCCGGCTGATTTGTTGGCCGCGATGGACTTTTCCATGTGCGCGCGCTGCTTGTCCTGCGCCGCCTGCATTTTCAAGAGGTGTTCTCGCTTCTCGGCCTGGGACGACTCGTACACCGGTAGTGTCCCGTGGAAGTAGGAGATGTCCTTGTCCTTGAGGATGAGGAGGTCGGTGCACAGGTTGTTAAAGTCCCGGTCGTGGGTCACGAGGATGAGGGTCGGCGGGTCGGGCCTGTCCGCCATGGCCTCGATGTAGCGCTGCAGCCAGATGATGCCCAGCATGTCGAGGAAGTTGGTCGGCTCGTCCAGGATGAGGATGTCTGTCTCGGCGAGGAGGCACGCGGCGAGGGACGCGCGCATATGCCAACCTCCGGACAACGAGGCAATGGGCTGGTCCATGCGTGCTTCCGTGAACCCGAGGCCCGTGAGGATGGTCTTTGCTCTGGACTCGACCTCCAGCAGTCGGGTTGGTTCGATCTGCAGCTGGAGATCGGCGAGCATGTCGACCGCCTCCTGTGTCTCAGCTTGCAGCGTCTCTGATGAAATCTCGTCGCCAGGCTGCTCTATGAGACCGTCAGATTCAGCGACGACCTTTTCAAACGCCACGAGGGCCTTTCTAGCCGCCATGCCACGGGCGCCGCTTCTGAGGCGGGCGTCCTTGTCTAGGCGGAATAGCTTCTGTTGGAGACGCTCATGCTTGACCTTGCGCAGCGCACGGATAGGGGCATGAGGATCTATCGCATCGACGCCTGTGGACAGTGCTGTTCCTGTTTAGCCGTGGAAAAAGACAATGTGCCGTCTGCTTGAGAAACTCACCCCTAACCTCCCGCTCGACATTAGACTTTGAGGTCGCCTTGTCCACCACGCTCTGCAGAACTGTCTGGCCAGCGTCCTGATCCTGAGCGCGATTCTCATCATCTGTCAATTTGGTCTGCTGGAGAATGGCGATGCGCGTTTCCTCCGGGATGCCAGGGATCAACTTCTCCGCAATGGCCTTGAGCAGTGCTTTGTTCATTAGCGTGGGCTTTGGATGATGCTTCTATCATAGGGTGGCCTACTCGATTTCCCGGTGCCATTTCGCCCCACGAGAGCATATCGCTGGCCCTCTTTGAGGCGTAGCTTTGCGTTGGTGAGGATTTCTAGTCCATCTGTTTTGGCCTTGCCCCTAGATTTGGTGGCTTTGCCATCGGCAGGCTTGGCCGCGGCTATAGTGATCTGCAGACCCTCGACGTCGAGCTTGCGCTTTGTTAGGATAGGTCGAGGAAGGGGACTGCGCAAGTGGTCTTACCTCGCGATAGTTGGGTGATTGTATGTCGAAGCGCGTCTGCTTGGATGTGCAGAGGATGGTGGTCGCCGACTCCGAGTCCATCGACGTCATCTTGGAGAGGCTGGCCTGTTGGCAATTGTCTGTAGGATAACGATAAAGTTCAATGAATACGCGAGAAAAGGACCAATTGAGATAGTCTAGGTTGTGCGCAGGGATGTGAGCGTGCCAGAAGATTTATTATTTCACATTGTTGCCGTGGGAAAAACAGTTGCATTCTTTATTGGTGAACCCAAAGTTCCCCAGAGGCGACTTTTGTGGAGGGTTGGAGATGATGCAAAATGAGTCATTCTTGGGGATTTCCTCAGCATAGGTAGGAGCAAGAATGACCATGGACAACGAACCCAACCGTCATTCATGTACAGCATTCATTATTCACAGAGATTTACTATGTGGTCTAACCTTAGGACGCCGGCCTGTCCCTCTCGACGTTGATGAAGCGCCCCTTGCCAGCGCGCATGTGCCGAATGTGCCTCTCCACCAGGGCAGCTGTCTCCATCACCTCGGCAAAGGCCACCTGCTCGGCCGCTACCATGTCCTCTCGACCGGGAAACCCAGCGTAGAGCCTCAAAACCGTGACCTTGCCCCAATGAACGGCCCAGTCGACGTGATCGTGCTCCGTCTCCAGCATCAGCGCCTTGAACCACGACCCGCACCCCGTCAGATCCAGGTATTCCAACTCGTAGAAGCGCCGGCTGAGCTTGCGCAGCACGAGAAGCGCCTCGCTCCAGTCGTGGTCCAGGGAGTGGGAGTAGAAGTTGGTGCCACCGTAGTAGATCTTGTTGCCCTGGGGCGTCGTGACCTTGGACGTTTGCGCGCGCGGGGCGAGGCATGGATCGGGCCAGTAGGCGAGGCTGAGGTGCGTAATGTGCGACGTCTTGAAGGCAAAGTCCAGGAGATGGCGCCATGAACCGCCTTCCGTGTTGTGGGGTGACAGCGCCAGGGATAGATGTGTGAGATTTGGGAGCAAGGCGCGAGGTGGGCTTGGTGTTGCGTCCACGGCAGCGTCCCAGGAATCTTCGAGATCGTTGTCGTGGACTTGGGGGGCTGGGGGAAACAGCAAGTTCGTGACGTCTCTCAATCGGATTGAGCGTCCTAGTGATCTCGAGAGGTCGAGATAGGTGATCTCGTTGGTGGTATGGGAATCTTCCTCTAGTTCGCCTTGCTCATAAAGGTCTGCGGGCGGCAACAGTATAAGCTTCAGATCAGCCAGCGTCACACCTCCGTCCGAGATGCCAATGTGCCGCAGTAAAGCTGGTTTGAGGTGATTTGGCAGAAAGTACAGATGATACTGCTGATACACCCGCTGAAACTCCCAGTCGGACGCAATGGCTCGCAGAACGCGGTCTATCAGGCTCCCTCGACCAGGCAGGTACGCACCAGGTAGCGCATTGTGATCACTGGGCGCATCTTTCAACTTGAGTCCTCGCATGCGATGGCTGAGGTCTACATCTTGACCCCTGGTAGCAACCCAGCTCCGCGGTGGAGGGGGCCCAGCCGGCAGTCTTCTCCCACTGGCATCGAAGCGAGTCCGCACTGGTCTCCTCGGTGCTGGTGGCGGGGTGTCGGGGATCTGGAGGATCGAGCGAAGATCAGGGTGCAGACTGGGGCCGTTGGCCAGCAAATGCGGCGATGCTGCGGATGAAGGTCCAGCTGCTTCGCGACGTAGGCCAGAGAGAAGTTCGTTGACGCCCTTGGCTGGCGCGTCTGACCCGCGGCTGCTCGATGAGCTCAGCGCTGGGGACACGGGCACAGTTGGTTTGAAGGACTTGAGATGCTGATATTGTCGTTTCTTTGGCATAACCGCAACGTTGCGGTGGAGGTATCCGTCTCAGGTCTGTGGAATGATAAAGACGTCGAGTGTTGATGACATGAAGTCGCCCCACCAGCGACGAAGCATCAATAATTCATCGTCACGATGAGTCGAGATTAAAGGCGGACCCACAGTCTGACATGAGTGCCTCAGTGAGCCATCTTTCTGTCACCATCGAGCATCCATGCGATTTACTTCTATATCCAAATATTACAATATATAAAGAAGGATTAGGTTCGATAAAGATTGATGAAAGGATGGCGGTTCATCTTTGCAAAATCCCACACTACAGGGTAGGTAGTAGGCATCCGGATTCCGGACGCAGGATCGTGTAGCGCTTTTGTCATTTGAGCTACCCTGTAGTGCAAACATCCCTCGCGTGGCGCGTAGCTGGCTGTCCCACTTAGTCTGAGTACTCGACTGTCAACATTCGCCTCCTGACATGGAAGCACATTGCTATTTCTGGACATCTTCTGTATAAAGCCCCAGACAAAGTTCTCATGCTAGTATGTGCGAATATGAGGCCATCATCTCTCAATACGCCTGAGCATGTCCCGGTCACTCCATCTTCTGGAGCAGCAACCCTCAAAAGACATCAACAAACGTGAGGCAGGTCTCAAAACAAGACACAACATCGACTGGACACCATGCGCTCAATGGATGCTGCCTTTCGCGCAAACAAGGCCTACACTTCTCGCGTACGACACCACTGGAGCCTGCCAGTCCGAGTTCGCAAGGTCGCCACGCGCTTGTGTCACTACACCGACGCACGCTCTCCTGTCCGCATCACACACCGGACACCCATCGACGTGGGGGAGAGTCAGCGCGTGCGGCCAACACACGATGTCCTCAACCTGATTCTAGCTGCTTCTACCGCGGCCATGCCAGGCTGAGCGCAGCCTGCCAAGCAGCCAGCCTGGGCTCCTCCAGACACACTCTCGCACAAGACCGACAAACGATCTTGGCCCTGTCTCACCGACACCCAGACCCGAATAAGGGTTGGGCAAGCAAACGGATGGGGAAGACCTCTACGGAAGGGGGAAATGCCACGCAACTTGGTGGTCCAGTGCTTTCTGCCCTCCATGCCTTGCTCGTACGCTCGCAGACTTCAGAATATCTGGGTACTGGCAGAGAGGCGTACCGTTCATGCTGTGTCCTTTCCCCAGGTTCAATGTTGACTTCTCCCCCCTGGTATCGAGCCGGTTGCGGTGGTACCAAGAGACAGCTGAGGCAGATCTGCAACAAGGAGGGCATGCAGACAGGCAGCATGCATTGTCCGGACCTCAAATCACGCTGTCGTCGCTGCTGCCCCGGATACGCACAAGGCTGGTGGTTCAGCTTGGCATCTCGCCCCCCCTATCTTAGAGGTACACCTTTTTTCTCACCGAGAGAAGCGCCGGTCACTCCAGTCTCTTGTTGTAGTAAGCTCACCTGACGCCGGCAGATGGAGCCCCTGTCCGGACAAAGGGCCCAGTGTACGACGCCTTGTCTCGTCAGTCCGTTACCGGAATGGTCAGTCGTGTACGACAGGCAGAATCAGGCAATAGCCCTGCGTCATGTTGCCATTTGCCTTTGGGTACGGTTAGGCAGACAGATATTATTGCCAACAGACCTGGGCAGGTATCATGGCCCATGGCCTGCTTGGTTTGTTGGTTCTGCGCCCTGTGGTCTGGACGATGATTACTGCCAATGTGGTCCATACACCCTTTGCCAGCGCAACAGGCAGAGAAAGCTCTGGCTGCTAATCGAGTTGTCGGCTTTGCCTTGCTGCGGGCTTCTTCTTAGGCAGACTATGTCCTGCTCTGGAGCAGTGTCTTTCAGTATGTTCGTACGCATGGTTCGAGACCCCTTTTCCAAGGCCATCCGTCGACTGAGGTATTCGGCGACAGCCGAGATCGGCAAGCTTCAGTCGCAACGCCACTTTCATTATCGTTGCGTGAAACATGCATCGCGCGGTGCGCCCAAAAACAACATGATAGTTCGCAGATCATGGAGTTGAGCATGGAAACGCCGTGACCTGCATCTGTGCCCGGTGGGCGTCGACCGATGCGCCAAAACCACCCATGGCAGTACTTCCCTCCCTCATGGCTTCTCGTTACCTACGCACATGCTTCGCAGGACGATGCCACAAGGGCTGCGATCCGGGCGGACTTGAAACGTTGACAGGACTCCTGCACAAGATTCATGCGCTCGACTGATTCTGGTGCCCTTGTATTGTACCACGCGCTGCCGTCCTGCCCGTGCCTCATGGGGTCAGCCTGCCTGCTCTTGGATCCTGCAAGCTACGGCCGATGCTGGTTCACCTGCCATCCTCAAGGAAGCATGGCATGCTGCCAGACCGCCAGTCCACGAAGCCAGCATTGGCGCACGACTTGGTGGACCATGTCATGGAATCGACATACCGCCATTATGCACGCAGCCGTCGAAAAACGTGGTCGTCCGCCAATGTTCGACTGTCAATTGAACGAGTGGCCAGGCGCATATCCACTATCACGAGATGCTGGGGCCCCCTTTTTCGAGTCTTTGATTCAGCGCTCCCGACAGCCAAACTGATGTTTCGAAGATTTACGGCCGCTTGCTGTGCTCTCCGGGGGATGGTCGCAAGGGAAGCACATGGATGTCTGAGTTAGCATGGAATCTGACGAGGCTCGGCTCATAGGAACGTGGACTTCGCGCATCCTGGACGGGCACAACATCGATCTAGGCTGCATGGCTCAGACGAACCTGTCAGGAAGATCACTATAAACTCTACCTGGCATCTCCTGACTGAGGAAACAGACAGCGATCTCGAGTCGTACCTAGCTCCCTCGCTCGCTCGCTCGCCATCGACGAATGTCCCCCCTCTGCCTCTGCCATGTGCATGCAGACGCCACCATGCAACCCGTGCGCGGCGGCTTGCTTACGGCAGATGGCTGCAGCGATGAAAAGGGCCCGTGAACTTTGGCTTTGGCTTTTTATTTTGTGATGTATCACATTGCACCAGATCCAGATCGTGTCGAGCATGTGTCTATCATCTGCATTGCCGCGTTCTTTAGCGAATGGGCCCTCGTCGATGCGGAGACAGGCCCATTTGATCCCGGCAGCGGGAGCCGGACACGCGATGAAACTAGTTTCAGCGATAACTATAGGATTCTGGGTCCTGGCGACGCCTTCAGGTGTCATGGCAAGTCGGGTCACTGCTGGCATCGCACGCGATGCGTTGGAGTCCGGCACTTGCTGTATCCGTCCTCGCAACCGACCTGATGATTGGATCCGAATGGTCGCTGTCAAGAATAGACGAAAGATGTATATCGACCACGGAAAGATCAGGAGAAAATTGCATGCAATCACCGCGCTGCCGACTAAAGGGTGAGGCAGGTGAAGCACCCCCTCCCTCTCGGGAGTGTGCTCTTGTCATTGGCTGCTACATTCGAATGCGCACGACCATGCTCGCCTGGAAACAATATATCGGGGGAATGATGGAAGTCTTCTTGATTCATCGTACTTACTCCCATCAAGCCCCTACGTCTGTGCAGAAATGCTCGAGGTACATGTGGTCGCCCAAGCCTTGGCGAGCCAGACCAGGCTCCTCAAAGTTACCCTTGCCTCCAGTCCTCGACAATTTAGCACGCTCTTTGTGTGCAAACATCAAATCTTAGCTACAGAAAGGAATATCTGACCCTTCAGCACTGGTTTGGTTCACCAACACGACTCTCCAGTGAGTGAGTGACAGAGGTGCGCCTGACCTGCAGCAAGTCACTCGCCGGGTGCAGACCACAACCATCCCCGAGTCTATCATAAATCACACTGAGTTTGGAGACATTCCAAAGCTACCTCATGATCATAATTCTCCGAGCCTCCGATTTCTCCATCATTCTGAGACAATGCTACGGTCCACGTTGCCTTCAAGTTGAAGGCGACTCTACCATGAGGCCATGTAGCAAGCCGTGGCTTGGCGTGGTCTCTTGGTCAACGGACAATCGAGCCCAATCACGGCTCTGCGTTTGCCAGTAGTTTTGACGGACTGCCGTCGCGGATAGCTGCGTATCCTTCGTCGCAGATTCAAAAGGGGGTGTGGTTGATCACCTTGGATCGTGGGCGTGGCTCGAGTGAACAAATGTCCAAGAATCGATGCTGAATCACTCGTTCTGGGGAAACACATGGTGCCTATGACGGTGCCATTGTTCATGGATAGAGGAGAGGCGCAATAGGGGGTGGCCTCGTCAGGCTCCCCCTCTCCTCCGAGAGAGAGAGAGAGAGAGAGTCAACTGCGCATGATCTCCTCAGCAGATGATGACCCGGTTCTTTGACGCAAAGGTGTGGTTCTTCATGCGCAGTGCGGTGCGTTGGTCGCTTTTCGTTGGTTCCAATGCCCTGGGAAAAGCTACCCCTTGCCGCCAAAGGCAGCGACTGGACATGGCCTTGTGCAGTATAGGTCCTCGCTGAGTCCCCGGTGAACTCTGATTATCGCCTCGTTGCCCTCAAGCCCAGGCTCTGCCGGCATGAGCTAGCCTAGATCGCTGCTGGTGTTGTTGGCTCCAGCCTCCAGCCTCCAGCCCAGTCTAGCAGCACATCACTGATCAACAAACGACCCACGGGGGTGTGGGCAACGTGACGTGCCTCCTCCTACTGACTAACTCTATGATAGGTAGCTGCCAGCGTCCGCTTTTTGACCGGCTGCAATCTCCCTGGTATGAGAGGTGCTGTAAGCGTGCAGTCTGGTCACTGGGGTGGGAATCATAGAGCGAGGCTCCGGCTACCGATCTGATTCTAGGCTGGGCGTATAGTCACGGGCCAGCCCCGTGGACATGTACTCCTGTCGGACTCTCGTCACGTACAGCTCACCTGGTTTTCACCTCGTGGGTGTATTTTTACCGGCTCTCAACCCAGCACAGTCCATGACTGCACAAACTCCTCATCTTAAGCTTGTGATTCTCCCGGCCAGCCGGGATCCTCGAGTTCTGCCTCACCTTCTTCACATCTCTGTCTCTTGCGCAGCTGGACTCGGCCGCCTCAGTCGAACTCCATACGACCGTCTCATCCATCCTTCCAGACCATCATCATCATCCGAATCTTTTCTATCGCAAGCCTTTCCTACGCGCGAACCCCGTCATCCAATCGCCAATAGTACGCTTGCGTCTCAAACCCAGCAGCGCAGCTCTGGACCTTTGTACGATCCCAAAAACATACCGAGCACTGCCTGTGTCGCAGATTGGGTATCTAGTGAGCTACTCTCTGAGATCCTGCACTCGCACAAGTCTGTGGCG